CGAATCGCACGGCCAAGCCAGGCTGAGCGCACGGCCGTGCATTGTGCACTTGTGGCCGTGCGCTTGTGGCCGAGAGCTCGCACGGCCAGGGGGGGTACCCGAACGGCCGTGCAAGTCTAGGTTCTGGCCGTGCGACTTGCTGGGGTCCCGAAATCAACCTGTTTTCGCTCAAAAACGACACGTAACTCTGGATCAACGTCTCAAGACTCAAAAACACACAAAATCAAAGGAAAAAGAGTAAGAAAATGCAAACCTCGGTGGGGTTGCCTCCCCACAAGCGCTTCTTTACCGTCTTTTAGCTGGACGCCAGTATGGATGCTCAGGGAAGTGTAGGATCAGGTGCCTTCAAGAGCGGATCCACATCGCTCTTGAGGTACAGCTTCAAATGGTGGCCATGCACGCGACGAATGTGGCCACCTGCATTCGCCAGCTCAACTTGGCCATCCGGTAGGATGCAAGCGAGTGAATACTCGGATGGCCAAGGAGGGGGCGGGACCAGCTCATAGTGGTCTCCGGCTTCTTTTCGAGCAGGCTTAGCTGTCTGCAGTTTCGGCCGCCACTCCTCCTTGATCTGTTCTTTGGGTGACGGAGTGGTCCGGAGTGGCGGCGAAGGTGTGGGAGGCGGTTCCTACAAAATAGGCAGCACAGAAGGATACACGACAGACTCGTGCTCCTGGTGAGATACAGCATGCAGAGGTGACGAAGCAGGTATATTATCAGCAACAGAAAACGTTATTCGCTCCTCGCCATCCCTCAAAACTAAGGTCCCATCATGCACATCTATGAGAGCCTTGGCGGTGGCCAGGAAAGGCCTTCCCAGTATAAGAGGCACTTCTGTGTCCTCACTGATGTCCAAGATAACAAAATCCACGGGATATGTGAATTTGCCAACCTTAACCAGAAGGTCTTCCACTATACCCCTAGGATGCACTACAGATCTGTCAGCTAATTGAAGGGTCATCCTAGTAGCACGGGGTTCACCTAGGCCTAGTTTCATGAACAATTTATATGGAATAACATTGATACTAGCACCTAAATCCGCCAAGGACTTCTCTACATGCAATTTATCAATAGAGCACGGGATAGTAAAACTACCTGGGTCCTTCTTCTTCTGCGGAAGCTTGTTTTGCAGAATAGCCGAGCATTCCTCGCTGAGCTCTACCGTGGCCAGCTCACTCAGCTTCTGCTTCTTTGAGAGAAGCTCTTTCAGAAACTTCGCATACTTTGGCATTTGCGATAGTGCCTCCAGGAAGGGCACTTGGACATTCAGCTTCTTAAGCATGGCCATGAAGTTCTCGAACTCTGCCTCCAGCCTGTCTTTGTGCAACCGAGTAGGGAAAGGGAGTTTAGGGACATACTCCTTCACTACTGGTTGCGGTTTAGGTGCAGGCACCTCAACTTCCTTCTCTACTTCCTGTTCAACCGCTGGAGCCGCTAAGACAGGGCTTTCTTTCTCCGGTTCCCGAGCAGGAAGATCAACAGTCATCTTGCCACTCCTGGTCATGATGGCATTGCAGCGCTCATTCGGGGTCGGCGGGTGAGGGGTGGTCTGCCCTGGTAGAGTACCAGGAGCCCTTTGAGCCACTGCCTGGGCCACGCTCCCCAGCTGGGTCTGGATATCCTGCAAAACAGCCCGTGTATTCCTCTGGCCAGCTTCCAGAGCCAGGAGTTGACCCGAGGCCTTCTCCATGAACTGCTCAAAGGTGTTGAATTTCTGAGCACTGACACTGGCAAGAGAACCCACCAAGTCCCGCAGTTCAGCCATCTGATCATTCTGCACTGGGGCAGCAGGGGCTGCACCTGGCTGCTGGAATTGCCCCTGTCTGGGCTGATATGGTGGCCTCTGGAAGCCCGGTGGTCCCTGTGGAGCTGGTGGTCTGGGATTTGGCCCAGTCCAGGAGAAGTTAGGATGCTGGCGCCACCCCTCATTGTACGTGTTGCTGTAGGGGTCATTGCGCCTGACATTGTTGATGAAGTTCACCTGCTCCTGGGGCGTGGTCGATTCCTTCATCGCCTGGCAATCTTCCACCATATGATGGGTGCTCTCGCACCACTGGCAGAGCATCGCCTGCTGCTGTCCGGTCCCTGGAATCATCCCGGAACGATCGATAGCTGAGACCAGCTTCGATACTACCTGCACCAAATCGGATGACTGGGTGCCCACAGCATGCACACCCCGGCCTGGTGCTCTCCTCGATCTCCTGGCAGTGCCCCAATCATAACCATTCTCCGCCATCTCTTCAAAGAGTTGATTCAGCTGTGGCGGGGTTTTGGTCAGCATGTTCCCGCCACAAACCGAATCGATCAGCTGCTTGTCCTCCGGGAAGAGGGCGTGATAGAAGGTGCCCACCTTGAACGCATCGTTGAAACCATGATTTGGACACCTGAGGAAAAGACTGTTGTACCTCTCCCATGCATCCCTGATGGTCTCATCCTCATCCTGAACAAAATGTGTAATTTGCTTCTGCAGGTCAGCTGTCTTGGATGGAGGATGGTAGCGGGTGAGGAACTTGTCCGCCAGGTTGGCGAACGTGGTGATGGAGCCCGGAGATCGAGTGTCTAGCCACTCCTTGGCCTGCCCCTCCAGAGTGAATGGGAAGTACCTCAGCTGGATGGCATCTGCTGGTACCCCATTGATCTTGATTCCATCGATGAGCTCGTGGAATCGCCTGAGATGTGATCGAGGGCACTCTCCCTCCTTACCACGGAACACTACTGAACCGCGCAGCATGGTGATCACGGAGGTGCTCACCTCAAAGTTGTTGGCTGGGACCTGAGGGTGCTGAATGGGTGACCTCATGTCCGCAGCCCTAGCGGTCCAGTAGGAGCCCATGGTCTGCTCCTCGGGGATCACAGCATGGTTCCCTGGTTCAGCCATCTCTTCTTCTTCCTCCTCTAACTGCAGCTGTGATAGCGCCTCCTCCGCAGCCAGTCGCGCCTTTAGAGCCCGCTTGAAGTTTCTGCAGGTTCGTTCAAGCTCCTGGTCTAGTGGTAGTAGATCTCCCGACTGGCTACGGGTCATGCACTACCTGCACACAATCAGCAGAAACAACCCATGAAGGCACACAGGTGGAAGAAATAAAAAGCAGAAAATAAAAGCTAGAGTAACAAATTCTCACGTTTCCCCAATAACCTAGAGGGTCCCCGGCAACGGCGCCAAAAACTTGACACGCCAAAACACAACACCAATCTGCGACCAAGTGTAATCGCAGACCGGGAATGCAGTAACAGGCAAGTTATATTATCAACCCGGGGTCTAGATCTACTGCTTACTCAGTGATTCTCTGTTATCTAGCCAACTAAAGTAAGTGATTGTTGTTTAAACTAAAAGCATAAATAAAGCAGGAAATTAATCGGTTTTCTTAAGCAGGAAAGAGTCACTCGGGAATGAATCCCCCTAGCTCTTTAGTTAGGTTTCAATTGCAATTTACCCTAGGTTGATTTACTGTTGATTAGACTGCGGAAGATCCGGCAGTAGCTTGGAATCTCTTAAGCTGACCAAGCCCTCTCAGTCTAACTACCCGGCAGACGACTAGTCTTCACCGGGATAGAAAGCTGAAGCAGTAAGAACAGAAATTCACTACTGGAATTAGATTCCAGTACAGAGCAGCAAACTGGCTAACTCTCGTATAACCAGTCTCCTACTATCGAATGATGAGACTCTAGCAACCTAATCAGATTCTATCTATCTCAGATTGCAGCAGGAATCAGGAAAAGTTGATCAGACTTCAATTGACTCAATAAACATGCATCATTCGATTATAATCAAACAGTAATATCATCCCAAGTCATTACAATCAATCCCCTAACACATAGAACTAGGGTTCTTCATCCCCAAGTGAGAGAGAGGTTCTACTCCATAGAGAGAGAAAAGAAAACAGTAATCGGAGTAGTCATACTCATAATGATGAGGATAATCTGCTCCGGGATGATGATTTCCACTCCTAGGACGATCTCCAAGCTTGATTTGATGAAACCCAGCTCCAAGATGGCTTCTAGGGTGAGTTCTTCGCACTTTCTCTCTCTAAAACTCTGTTTGTGCTCAAAAGGTCCGATCCCCCCACTTCTGGCTCGGATTAGGCTTTAAAACCGGGTTTTCCCGAGTTGCACGGCCAGCGTGCACGGCCGTGCACCTCACCATTCTGGCCGTGCACCATGAAACGCAGCGTATCCCTAAAGTCGAACTCAGGCTTCTTGCACGGCCAGGTGCACGGCCGTGCAATCTTCAGGGCCTGCCTGTGCAGCTCCTCGGCATGAGGCGCACGGCCAGCTTGCAACCGTGCACGGCCGTGCAGCCCCCTGGTCTGCCCGTGCAGATCCCCAAAAACCTCGCCATTCGTCCGTTCTTCGTCCAATCGACCCCAGACTCGCTCCTAAGCCTTCATTCACGTACTAGGACCTGAAATATCACAAACAAGCACAACCTAGCGTGAAATCGGCCTAAAACACGAGAATCAACACCTCAAACGGTGTAAGAACGGGGGTAAAAACATGTGTAAATGACGGTCTATCACTATGTCACAATTGCGTATTGACAAAAGGAAAAAAAAAGCTGCAATTATTATGAATATGAATTTACCGACAAAAAACATTAACAATTTACCAATAAATATTTTACCTGATATGATTATTCAACAAAACAAAAACCAATGTGCGCACACAGTAACGAACCATGGTTCATGACATCGACCCTTAGTTGTCCAACTCCACGCGGAGTCTTCAATTCCACAAAACAAATCCTCAAGATGAGATTGTTTTTTATACCAAAAAAATGTAACATGCGCTCACAGTATGTTGACAAATTGGTACCTAGAATTAAACAAAATTATTTTGAAATAGGTAAAAGTAGGAACATTACAAGATTGCATTTGATCTTCAATAAAATAAATAGTGTTGCATAGAATATCATTGGAATTCGTGCATAACATAATTTAGTTTTTGTTCTTTGTAATGAAACGAACAAATCTATATCTATATATTATTAGCAAAGTCATTGTACAAGTATCATAAACATTTTATACCTATGCCAGCACAATCTTTGATACACCAACAAAAACATATTACTTCAACCACTCGTGCCGTAGGATGTCATATATTCACGAGGGTCACCCTTACTGCCTCCACCCAAATGATAATCATTCTATGGTGTTGATATCCACGACTCTTAATGGAGAAAACTATGGATATTGGTCTACTTCAATGCAAACATCATTGTCTTGAAGAATAAAATCTCATTCATTGATGGAAGCTCCGAAAGACCGTTAGTCATCGACACGATGTCTCTTGCATGGGATGAAGCTAACGCAATGGTAAAAGCATGGATATACCAGTCCATTGATCCTAGCATCGTAAAAAGCTTGCCATGGTTTGAATCTGCCATGGAAGTGTGGGAGGATCTGAAGAGCCGCTTTATTATAGCAAGCACGGCAGAGGAAGCAGATCCTTGCGAGATGAAGGATCTAACCAATAACAATTTGTCAAAAGTGGCCTTGAGCATTTTCCCTCTGTTCACCTACATAGACACATGCTATTCAATGGGACCAATGTATGTGGTGGATAAATGATCCACCATTATTATTGTTATTGATACTTATTCAATGGATTGTTTTTGGTCTTAGGTGTTTACCGTGGTGGAGGCCTGAACAAACCAATTTTGGCATGGCTTACAAATTGTTCCGCACAATCTATCGGATAAGTTGATGGTGATTCATATCACCAGAAAGATAGTTTTCTCTACACAAAGGATTGTGTATGATGCATTTAGAAAGACCAGTCCTTTTTTATTGAAACCAATATTCACTTCCAACACTTATCAGTGACATGTAATTTGAGATTTAGGAGTTTGCTTTTACAACCCTTGTATAAAATATTGGTCATTTGAAAGAAATAGATAACAACTTAAATGTACAATGTTTCTTGCTACAACTAATACTAAGTCCGGACTCAGAATCTTGTCCGTTAAAAGGCTTTGATAAAGAATAGTATGTGTGGTCTGTATAGATTATTTACTCAGGGATCAAATAATTACTGCTAATATAACAGACTAAGTACATGATTCATAATTTATCAAGAAAGTTTTCAAGTTCTCAATAAACACTAAGTAATTTCTGATTTTATCTTATGATTAGGCTTTGTTTGCTTTAGTATGTATTTTAAAAATAATACATATTATCAAAACAAATTTGGAAATTTGCTTCTAGGGTTCGTTTGGAGACAAGATTTGTGAGTACAAGTTAATTAAATCGATAGATTTATCATAAGCTATTTTTTTCCTATTGTAGAGTGGAATTTAGCTTCAGATATTTCGAAATCCAAAATTTAAAGACGTAGATCTTTTATACCTAGAGAGATTCTATAAATTGCCTTGCGAGATTTTTGTTCCTCCTACTTTATATCTTTTTATATTTGTCCCACCGAATATCATTACTAATTAGTTCTCAATTTTTTTAACCACTGTAATTTTGTTGGTTAAGACTACATCATATGCAAAAAATAGAATTTGTTTTTCTATATGTTAACAATCACGGTTAACAAACAGTGAAAGTTTTAAAAGGTATTTTTTATAATTCGAAGATGCAGAACCTTTCGATTGTTTACAATCCAATAAAATATAATCCAATTATCCAAGCAAGCCCTTATTTTTATTATAAATAGAGTTCAAGTTATCAAAATAAATCCAAAAAAATAACAATTGAATTTGGCAATCAAAATTAGAAAAATTTACAGAATACTAACATCAAGCTCAATTCATAGTGAAGATAATCGTGCGGACATCAACACACTACTTTGGAAGACACGTGAATGATTTCCAACACCTATTAACATTCTGGTTAAATAACTAACCATAGTCGTCACACACATAATGGAGAAACAAAGCAAAAAAGTAAAAAGTCAATTCCCAACAAAACAATTCAAACAAGCAGATCATCGTTCACTGAGAATAATATTAAAAAACTACCCCAAGATAAATTAAACAACAGAAACGCTACTACAAAACCTCATCCAACCGTCCTCTAGTTCTAAGATCTTTTTAATGCAAAAATCGCATTCTCCATCTGAAAAATAAAAATACGAGATCAATAAATTGTGTCTATACTCTAAAAAGTGTTAAAAAAAATTATATAACGGAAATTTCTACCTCAAGTATACTTCCCAACTTGTTGCGAAGAATGCAATATTCTCGAGTGACATCATTAGCAGAACGTATACTCCTGTAGAAAAAACACAAGATGCAGTAAGGAATGAACTATGCAACCCACAATCCCAGAAAATTGATCTGATATTTAAGTTATACTGTGGGCTAACCTATCTCTGTTTCTGTCAACACATGCTTGAAGAAGTTCGTCACAAACAACCTTTAGTCGTCGTGCCCCAATGCTATAAATACAAAACAATACAAATTAAACTTTACAGCAAACACCAAAACACCTGTGAAAAACAATGAACATAAGAAAAAGTTCAAGATCCCGACGTGGAGCTACTGCCTCTAATTTGATGCAAGGATTCTTCAATTTGAGAAAAATTCACGTCAATAGCACCTCTGCAAAACACATGGACAAAAAAAATAATAGCCAGCGTATTTAATTTCGGAGATCAGAATGACATAGATAAATAGGCGGGATTACAATACTGGGAACGGAAAACAGGCAAATATCATACAAATCCCTGTTGATTTCCCTGACGATCCTATCACCATCGCGACAGAAAGAACTGATAACTTCAGTTACAAATTCAGGATTAGTAGCATCTTGGAGAGCCTGAACTTGAGAAAACTGATTGTCCAAAATGCCCTTCAACACAACAAGAACAGGATGGGATTAGGTGCTGACCCTTATAGGGGTTAGCACCGTGATAACTAGCAAAAAACGCTACTAAAAATAACAAAATCACTACGGATTATTATAAAATCAATACAACATCTAAGCTAAATCACTACTAATTCAAACTAGTAGTAGTTTTCCCTTGGTTAGGACGGTGCTAACTATTATACAATTAGCACCGTAACCCCTCCCCAACAAGAACTTACAAAGATTGGAAAAACGAATAAATGATAGAACGAGGAACTAAATCAAACAAAGACGCGTACCTCATCTACCATAGATTGCACAAAGCCTTTTAGCTCTCCCATGCAAGAAAACAATGACATTTTGGTGTTTCAGATTCGCAAACGAAGTGTTTTTTACTGCAAACAGACAGATGGGTTACTCTGAGATACAATTCAAGATCTCGAGCATAATGTACATTATTATATAGCAATACGTACATGCAATTGGCCATCCAAATAAAGATGAATGATTTTACATATTCGATAAGATACTTTAATCAAATAATTATAGCCATTATTTTTTTAACCCTAGTCTATATAGTCTTTCCCATGTGGATCATAGACTCACAGCGAACAGTAGCAGTACTTTTTACATGAGATGCCTGATAGCTTCCCCGGCATACTTGTTTCTCTTTCTCCTTTACATCCTTTCCTCCGCTATTTCTTCTCTTTCTCCCCCCACCCCCCCCCCCCCCCCCCCCCCACCAAATAGATGCGATCCTTTTCCACTAACTTTACTAAATTTTACTAAATTATTTCATCATTACAAAAAAAAATAGCTACCACAATAAGTGCACCACATGCACCCTTGTCGACCACGCAAAACCGACAACCCATATAGATCTAAATCTACTTTTCGATCCATCAATATTCGTTATAATGTTAAAATGAAAAATTCATGAATTAACAATATTATAACGCGTATAATATTTAAGTAACCACAAACTCAATAATTATCCAAGGTAGGTTGTAAAATATCAACGTAAGTTCACGTTAACTTTTAACGTGACCATCCGCAATAAAACTCAACTACAACTATAAAAAGAGGATTATCTCCTAATACATGTAACATTTGGTAAAAAAAATGCCATAAAAACACAAGGTCGCCAATTTAGACAGAAAACACAAAACAACAACCGCTTACAATGTAACACATAACAAAAACACACAACCACAGAGAACGAGATATTACATCAAGATAGTACCGTCTAACACGATTGATCATCTGGATACCATGTCTAAGTCGACGATAAAGATATAAACAATGGATCTCATATATAGCATACACGCACTTTAAGTGAAACTGAGGCTTGGCATAAGCGCCATAAAAACGGTTAACATTATATCTAAACGGTGAAAGTCCTTGCAAAATTCAGTAATGTAGGATACCTAAAATCTTCCATCACAAGTTCAAATTGAGTAAGTCCACCGGCAGTACATTCTGGGATAGTAAGGTGAAAAACACATCCTGTTACATTTGGAATTTAATGGATAGTTAGGTTATGAATTACAATCATCACATGAACAAATAAATATATAGACATCATTACCTAAATAATGAAGAATAGTTTGAGACTGTAATGGGACGTCTGAGAACCGTGTTTTAAGCGGTTGACATTAAGTTTAATACTCATTTCTTCAATATTATCTTCTTCAGCATAACCTTCAAGCAAACGTTTCTGCAAAACAATAATTAAACAGGTAAAACATACAAGAATGAAATGTCTGTATATAATAAAGATCTGGTACAAACCTCTTTATCAATCCACAACATATGTATTGTTCGTCTGAGGCATGTAGGATTTCCACTATGCTCAATCCATATTTTGAGAAGCCGAGCTATGATAACATCAGCATAGATGCCAATACGAAGCCCCCGAAACACCACAAATGTACAGATCATATCTAAATCAAACATCACAGCAACAATATCTGGAAAACCACATGAAATGGTTAGGAAGAATAACAATGATGCAATTGAGGAATAATACATGAAACTATAGAAAGAATAAATAGAAAAAAATATGAACAAAAGAGCACATACCGATTCGAGTAAGAAAGAAAATTGTGATAATCTTCTTCAAAGATAGGAACGTTTTACAGGAACGAAAATGGACAGCTATTTGGCGGTACAAGCACATACAATGACATTAATACATTTAGTGTACAGCATACACCAACCATAGGGACCCGAGCATAGTATATGTCTCTTTCGCATTGAGTACAAGCAGATAAAACAAAAAAGAGCTCACCTAGACGACATCAAATGCCTCCAAGAATGAATGTACGGGAAAACAATAGTGGACACCGACTGTAAGGACCCAACCATATTGTACGTCCCTTTCATATTGAATACAAGAAGACAAAATAGAGAAGAACGATCCAAGCATAGTGTACGTCCCTTTCATATCTAATAGATACATGTACGGGAAAACAACAGTGCACACTGACTATATGAACCCAAGCATAGTGTACGTCACTTTCATATTGAATACAAGAAGATAAAATAGAGAAGACGACCCAAACATACTGTGCGTCCCTTTCATATTGAAGACAAGCGGACAAAACAAGAGGGATATCACCCAGTTGCGTCCGCAGGGGAGGATCTTCTCCTTAGCTACAAAGTTTGAAAATGATGCCTATTTTGTCTTATTATAAGCAGTACTGCAACTGACAACATAATAATTGAACACCGACGTTAACTTCCCGAAATAGCCAAATTATTTCATATCTCTTCTCTTTCGGACCCGTCCATTTCTCTTCACTATTTAATGGGCCAACCTTTGCCTTCAACTTGATGTACGCCTGTACCAAAGGCCCTAGTTTGAAAATTCAAGCAGAAAGAATATGCGATGTATGGTTTCACATTTTGATGGGTCCGACCGATCAAGACCTTTTGACCATTTTGAGTTGTAACCATTAATTACTGGTCAGTTGTTGCCCTGTCCGTCTACAGATTAAAGACTGTCCATCCACTTGCAGCCATAGATATATAGGTGAAAAATACTAACACTCTGATGGCATTTGTTTCTTATATTAACAAAAAAGTAACAACCATAGTTTAGAGTTTAGGTTACGTCGATTTCTTCTACACAGTCGCTTCTGCTTTCTTTTACTAACTATTATTTGACAGACGATACATGCAATGCATCTTCTTGCCTTGAATTTATTGTAACCAAATCGGTACAGTTATCACTTTATTCTTGTTTGATTTGAACCGATCTTTTTGTACAGTTCACGATATAATTTTGTACAGTAACCTTATACATGGGCCAGATAAAAGGAATTACTAATACTAATTAATTTTAGATACAAAAGTGATCTGTTGTAATTGCTAAGCGTTTATCTCAAGATCATGAGATCAAAATTTACATAAATCTTAATACATACATACATATATCATTACATTCACATATTTAAATGACTTATTTTGTTTTATTATGTACAAATTTCCCATACAAATCCTTCATAAAATAATACACAAAGTTTAAAATAAATAATTGCTAATTCATCTTTTTATTTCCCAACATCTACACATGCATGGAGACAAGGTTGGACCAATAATGTTCCATACACAATTGGGGTTCTCATTTAATTTGTCTGTATGCATATCCCAATAAAAAAATTAGAATTCCAGCAAAAAATATAGTATTGTTAGATAGTTACATGAACACTATTGTTTCACCCCTCTTTGCTTGGTCTGAATTGGGACGGATGACTCATATTCTGTCTCCATCAATAAAACACCTAAACTAAAAACGTGCAATTTAGTGAAAATGTGAAAAGCTAACAGTCACATAATGCCATGCATTATGTCCTCTATTAAGACAATGGCTAGACATATGAAGAACCACGATTGCATTGAAATAAAAAAGCAAAGGATGAACGAAATCGGTTCTTCAGAAAGGAAATGGGAGGAAATGGATTCAGATATCTTAGCGAAGACATTCAACACTCTTGACACACTTGAGTTGACGTCATGGATTGGTCAATTTTGCAGTTCATGGCGCATGACATGTGCTGATCCTCTTCTATGTAGAACACTCGACAATGAAGTCCAACTTCATAAAGACTCCTATAAAGCCATACGTGTACGTGCACAGTAGTTCAGATAAAACTCTAACACGTTTATTAATAACAGCTCTGAATCCCCGCTCGCTTCAAGTACGATAATCATAAGTAAGATGCACGGCTAAACTGGCAAATCCATCGAATCTGGACAAGGTGATATAGGTTGGTGGATCGCTTGCAATATCACCCCTTATAATTGAGTCGGCTAGTCTGAAGTGTTGGGAGCGCCTCTCATTTTCGAACAGAGGTTTGCATTAGTGCATGGCATAATGAGAATGGTTGAGAAGTGGGAGCAAAGGTGATAATACATAAACATAAGCTAGTGTCTAGTGAGCATATCCAACTTCCTTACTCATTTTTCCATCTTGGATCAAAATCTCAGTGCTTCTGTTTTTTCCATAGTTCAATCTCAACCAAACCAAATCTAGCGTACAAGGTGACACAACAAAATGCAAGAATTAATGCCACACCAACACAGGGGAACAATTACATCGAGTCGCATAAGCCAAAAACATCCCAGAAAAAAACTTCAAAGATCCCCATATCGTCGTCGTCAACCATGAGTGTTAAGAGCTTCCCACACCAGATTATTTGGCACAGGGTTGGATACGTCCTTGGCTTCCAACGCGACGGCTCCGAGTGTGTTGTAGGTGAAGACATTTGCCATCCAGAACGAGGCACAATTGTAGGTCAGATTGTGCTTCTTGCAAACCTCCTAAACAAATGGAGACACCTTTAAAAGCTGGCACCTCGGAAAACAAGGGGACATATGGTGCTACACCCGAAATTGCAATCCAACATGGAACCATTTTCCTTTTTAAAAAAATGGTAACTTTCTCACCTAAACAGAAGATAAACAAACCAACAATGGACTTATGAGAATGGTCCTTTCCAACGAACCATTGTGGTAAACCTGGCGGCGGCGGTGGAAATAATGATAGAGCAGCAGTAGGAATATGCATCTTTTTGTGCAGCAGCAAATATCTCACCCTACCCAACCAGTCGCATCATTACTTAAAAAGGAAGGATACAACTTTTGAGAAACCACACAAAATGGATAGAGAGAACATCAACCATGCGGTCGAGGAATTCCATGAAATGATCATCCCATGAACAAACATGCAACTGTGGAAGAAACAAGTAGAACGGGAAAAAAGAATGAAAGAACACATAATGGCTCGGGAAAGAAGAAACTGTGAGACTCTCCTTCAAAGATATGGACGATTATATAGGAAAGGAAATGGGCAGCTATGTGACGGTACAAGTACATGCAACGAGATTAAAAGCCTCCAATAAAGCAATTACGGGGAAACAACAGTGCACACCGACTATAGGGACCCAAGCATAGTGCACGTCCCTTTCATATTGAATACAAGAAGATAAAATAGAGAAGACGACCCAAGCATAGTGTACGTCCCTTTCATACTGCATACAAGAGGACAAAATAAGAGGGAGCTCACCTAGTCGTGTCCGCAGGGGAGGATCTCCTCCTTAGCTACAGTTCGCTTCCTTCCAAAATTATATATTAGAATTAGAATAGATAGACTAGTTCCAACTCAGAAACACTAAAGCTAAGACGTCAGTAACTGGATAAATTCAAACAACGCATCCCGAAACCGCTAGATGGAGAGTCTAGGGTTGGTATTCGGTAAACCGGTATTCGGTATAACCGGGTACCGAACCGGTTAAAATCGGTATTCGGTATACCGAATACCGCCAGTATCGATATTCGGCTGCAATATTTGGCCAGCCGGTATACCAAATACCGGCCAGTAATTTACCGACGGTAAATCGGTATTATCGAATACCGAATCACCAAAAAAAACAGGTTTACTCCTCTTGGCTTACTCCTCTCCTGCCGCCCTGGGCCAACAACAACCCTAACCCCGCAGTCCTCCTTCAGCAGGACTCCACCGAGGACGAACAGCAGCAACTCGATGATCCCCAGTCTTACGATTCCCGATTTCATTTTGACTATTTTGGTTTGAATTGCCGAGTTGTGTGGTGGTGTTGAATTTTGTGGCCTCTGGTTTTGTTACAGGATGTTTATGCCGGGGATGACGATGAGTACGAGGAAAAGTTCAAGAAAGAGTCTATCGCTTTCTTCTTCCTCGCTACGTGAGTGAATAGTCTGACTCTGCCACTTTCTAAAGCTTCTATCTTTTATTTAAATTTCTGGTTTTGTAACATGGGTTGCTTGGTGGTTGGGTGGGCAGGTATGGAGATGGTGAGCCGACTGATAATGCAGCAAGGTTCTACAAGTGGTTTATTGAGGTAAAATTTCAGCTGGGTTGAGTGAAATCGGCCATTGAATTCAGTCTATGGGTGGAATTTAAATTGACTGACTTCATGCAACATGGTAAAGAGGCCAGAGGATAATGGCTCAAGATGAATTATGGAGTGTTCGGTCGTGGCAATAAGCAATATGAACACTTTAATAAGGTATTGAAGAGTGTTTTGAGATGGGTGCCTTTCAGAATTTGTTTTGATGACTGTTTATTTCGGGGATGAACTCTGACTAAATTAATGTATTTGTTGGTTGATACTATAGATTGCTAAGGAGGTGGATGATCTTCTGGTTGAACAAGGTACAGTTCTTTATTCCCTTGAAGTTTCGTATAGAAATGGAGTTCTTTTTTATAGTTAAATGATGGGGAACTAGAACATTTAGTAGTTAATGGAATCTGGTACACAACATTTACCATTAACATTTAGTAGTTAATGGTTTGTATCTTTTAATTTCAAATATATCATATTGTTGGTGATTTACCGTTAAAATTTAGGCAAAATACACTTGTGTAGCCAAAACTTTCACGTTTGTGCCAATAATAGCCAAATTTGGCGAAATACCACTTATAGCCACTTTTTGAAGATGTTGTAGGACAAATATAGTCATTTTCGTTAGAAACTTTAACGGTGTTAATAACACCGTCAACTTATTTGACGGTTGGCTGACTAGGCGCCAACTAAGCCAACACGTCAGCGCCAACTAAGCAATTATTTACACGTTAGATATTTTAATTATTTATTATTTATTAAAAATAAAAAAAATTACTTATATTAGTATCTGCATCGCGACTTACCTTCATCCCCAACCCGATCCCGATTTCCCTCCCCAAATTTCCTCCCCCAATTAGGGTTCTTCCCCAAATCTCCTCCCCGACGAATCCCCTTCCCCCTTCCGATTTCAAAATATGGTTCTTCCCCAAACTTCCTCTCCTAACGAATCCTCTTCCCCCTTCTAATCGATTCGTCGATTATTGCTCTCCATTCCCCATCAATCCTCCTCCACTTCCTAATCTGTTTGGCGAACCGCGACCCTCTGTCGATTCGAGACCCTCTCCATTCCCCATCAATCCCACCCTTTGCCGATTCGCAACTCTGGGATTTCGCGATTTCTCCTGCCCAGAAGTTCAAGCGAGCTGCAGCCATGTCCAAGCGAGCATCTTCTGTCGAGCCAAAAGGAATCAATCCTCCTCACCAGTCGTCACACTCGAGGGACAGCAGAAATCCACCTGGGAAGTGCGATTAGGGTTTCTACGAACAAGTACACTCGCATCTGCTATGGGTGGATTCTACGTTCGCCAGAAGAAAAGAAACTTCGGAGGACTAGGCCAAAGCTCGCCGCCGGTTGGTCAACCCATCGAATGCTTGCCATTCTTTGTCGAGGAAGGAGGGGATATGGTAAGCTCGATGAATGGAGGAAACTCGGGACTGGAGGAGGGGTAGATTGATGGTGTGGAGGATGGAATAGGATGGGGTACGAGGGTCATCGGCGACACTACGTCGCCTTCGTTAGGTTGATGGTGGAGTAAAACAGGGGGTGGTTCGGAGAAGAAGAAGATAAGGCAGAGAAGGACGAGTCAAATGGGTTTTTATTTTATTTTATTTTTGGTCAATTTTTTTTTAGTTAATCATTATCCACATGTATAATTACAGAGGAAAAGGAAAATAAAAGCTCGCCGCGTAAGCATCTCCGTTTATCTAGTCACACTTAACGCTACGTTTCAGTATAGCTGTAACCAACCTTCCTTAGGTGCAGAGCTTCCATTCACGATGGGAAGTAGGTAGATCATCTTTCTCTTATAGGGTGAAAAAATCGGACGGAAGTGGCTATAAGTGGTATTTCTCCAAATCTGGCTATTACTGACACAAACGTGAAAGTTTTGGCTACATAAGTATATTTTGCCTAAAATTTACTTTTTGTAAATAATTTCATGGAAAGAATATCCATTTAGTGAACTAGAAGCGTAAAGCGTTTTGGTGAACTAGAAGCATAAAACTGTAAACTTTTAAATTTTAAAACGCAGTTTAGTACAATTTTATACACTGCATATTTTATATGGAAACGGGAGCATTTTAGTGACCTAAAAGCGTAAAATCGTAAGTTTCTAAATTTTAAAACGCTATTTTCCTTATATTGATTGGGATGTCGATGAGATTTGCGAGGAAAGACCACCGGTTTTACTAACCTCCCAATTGAGAGTAGATTGTAGTAACCCAACGATTGATTCATTAATAAAATACCCAGGGATTTTCTATATAAAAAAAATGAATGTGTCAACGCCTTAAACCAAGATTTGTAGTTGGCACTTGGCAGTTGAAACTACGGCACAACGCATCGCTTTGACCATGCATCAAAAGAACAACGAAAAGATCTATCAAGTAAAATAAAACAGCATCCGGTTAATTACTAGTAAAACAAACGTCTCCACATGAAAGAAAAACTACATTGCAGCTAAACTAAAACTGTAAACCAAATCCGATGGTCTCAACCAGACAACAAAAAACCTTAATCGTCGAACAGACTGAAATCCATATCATCGTCGGACTCTTCTTCCGGCTCTGGTTTCTTCTCCTCTTCGGCAGCAGCAGGTGCAGCACCACCACCACTGGCTACAGCAGGAGCAGCAGCAACAGCAAACTTGCTAGGATCCTGCACAACATAAACATTCAACACTCATCAACAACCAAAACCAGACAAAAACAAAATGAAACACCATCCAATCGCGGCATGGATTCATAAGGCGTCGAAACAAACCTTCAAGTACTCCTTCACTTGCTCAGCCTGAGGGAACGAATAATCGGTCTCCGACTCCACAGCAATGGCCAGGACGTTCTTGTAGGCATTGGCGAACATGTGTGATGCAGCAGCCAGTGTCGGGTAAGCAATGGCCAGCGAGAGGGCAGTGACATTCGACACACCAGAGGCGAACTTCTCCATGAGGTCGTCCTCGGTGAGATCGAGAACCTCGGGGCTGAAGACCGACCCATCGTCGTAGACAGACTCGACCACCAGGCCGTAAGAGAATGGCCTGATGCCGAGCTTGGCAAGCAGGGCGGCCTCAGAGGAACCGACCTTGTCGCCCTTCTTGATCAGCTCCACAGGCATAATGATTTCCACTGTACCCTTGTTAATCTTGGTGGGAATGTTGAGCACCTGCAGAGTGTACCAAAATAACAACATCAAGTCCCTTTCACAATCAGATTAGAAATTATGACATGGGAATAGAGCAACAACCACAAACCTGGAAGAAAGATGTCTGAGATGGATCGAGCCCGGTGTTTCCAGGAGGCACAACCACGTCAATTGGTGCAATCAGACCAACACGAGCAGGAGCGCCGACCTGTCAATTCATCACATACAAGGTTTAGACTTTAGACATCGACAACCATGGAGGCCAAAAGCCATGATATCATACTGAAAAGCAAAGAGTTCATAATCCTGTTTACCTTGTACTTGCCGATTTCCTCCCTGACTTCCTTGAGATCACCCCTAGTGAAAATCAGACCAACATTCCCCTGAATCCAAAAGAAAATTGTTCAGAAACCATAACCAAAAGCTTTCAGCTCAGGATAACACCGACTTGTTATAACAAACCCCAGTTCGTATTCAGGGAAGACAATCCCCCTAAGGGCACATATTGCTAAACCACAGAGATTCCGATCCAGGATACTAGAGACTTGTTACAATAAACCCTAGTTCTTATTTAGTGAAGACACAGCGTCGTATATACATATAAACCCTAACAGGTTCAACCCTAAACCCTAACATTCCAAACACAAATTAACATGAAATCCCAAGTCAAACGCAGTAAGCAGGTTCGATTCTAATTTTTTTTACCTGAAGCAGAGGGAGGAGATTGAGGATAGCTCTGTTCCCAGACTTGTCAGAGTGAACCCTAATCGTCCTCTTCATCATGGTGTTCTTCCCCATCAGCACCACGGAATCGCCTCTGAGACCCTTCCTGATGCTCTGCAACTGGGTCGATCCGACATTGTCGGCAGCAACAACCAGGACCTGGCTGTAATCGTCCAAGAGCTGGCACATCTTGGAGTCATAGGCGAGCTTCTTATCGGCTTTCGACGGCTTCCCAACCATTGTTTTCAACCGGAGAAAAACCTAAGACCCTAAACCTGTGTTCTTGCAAGAGAGGAAAAGGGAGGCGAAAGAAACGTGCAGTGCAAACAAGGTTTCTCCCGTTTTATAGAAATTTTTCTGCAGGGCTACTTAGTCCTTGTTTAACTCTGAATTCACACCTAAATCGGTATATGCTCCTAAATCAGCTCCAGCCCACAATTAAATAAACATATACTGGGCCCATTATTCACGGCCCAACAAGTTAACATGGTTTCTGTCATATTAACTTGAACTCCTTGATAATTTACTTTCACTTCGGAATTTCCACAACCCACGAACAAAAGAGAACGCCGCTAATCACCTGGGAAGTTAAAAAAATATGGCTGTGAATTGGTCAATGACTCGATCATCATCCGTGGAACCAACATTTCGAAACAGTAGTAGCAACCATGAAGCAAGAGACAAGATCGATAAAAGTAAATAAAACAGCATTCGATTACAAACTAGTAAAACCATTTAAAACGTTTCAACAGCAAAAAGAAAACAGTGCACAGCTAAAATTAAAATAGAATCCAACAGTATCAACCAGACACCAAAACTTTAGGGGTACTACAAAAAGATAACTGGGTCGGGGAAACTTAATCATCGAACAGACTGAAGCCCAAACCATCTTCATCGGACTCTTCTTCTGGCTCTGGTTTCTTCTCCTCTTCCTTGGCAGCAGCAGGTGCGGCAGCAGCACCACCACTGGCTGCAGCAGGGGCAGCAGCAACAGCAAACTTGCTCGGATCCTGCACAACATTACATTCAAACTCATCAAAAAACCAAAACTAGAAAAGAAAAGATTATCAATACCCAATTGGCATGCATTCAGAATGCATCAAACCTTCAAGTACTCCTTCACTTGCTCTGCCTGAGGGAAGGTATAATCGGTCTCGACAGCAATGGCCAAGACATTCTTGTAGGCATTGGCAAAAAAGTGTGGTGCAGCAGCAAGTGTGGGGTAAGCAATGGCGAGTGAGAGGGCAGTGAGCATGGACACACCAGAAGCGAATTTCCCCGTGAGAGCATCCTCTGTCAGATCGAGAACCTCAGGGCTGAAGACCGATCCATCATCATAGACATTTTCAACCACAAGACCATAAGAAAATGGCCTGATGCCAAGCTTGGCAAGCAGGGCAGCCTCAGAAGAACCGACCTTGTCACCCTTCTTAATCAGCTCCACAGGGGTGATGATTTCGACTGTACCCTTGTTAATCTTGGTGGGAATGTTAAGGACCTGCGGTGCACAGAATAAGATAAAGTCCCTGTCACAAAAGAAATCAAATAAGAAATTAGGAAATGACAATACAAGTATACAACAAACACAAACCTGGAAGAAAGATGTCTGAGATGGATCGAGTCCAGTGTTTCCAGGGGGCACAACCACATCAATTGGTGCAATCAGACCAACACGAGCAGGAGCTCCAACCTGTCAATTCAAATAGTTGAAGCAAACAAAATTTTAAAAAAGCAATATATAAACTCAAGGACGTATACTAACAAGGTTTAGACATCGACAAACATTGAGGCCAATATCCATGATACAATAATAAAAGTATAGAGTTTATAATCAAATTTACCTTGTACTTGCCCACTTCCTCACTGACTTCCTTAAGATCACCTTTAGTGAAAATCAGACCAACATTCCCCTGAATCCAAAAGAAAATGGTTCAGAAACAATAAGCAAAGGCTTTCAGGTCAGAAGAACAACGGCATAATAACAACCATAGTTCCTATGCAGGGAAGAAAATATAATAACTACATAAATAACTAATGCGTAGAGTTTCCGATTCCGGATAATAGAGACATTACAATAAACCCATAGAAATTTTCAATATGAAACCAGTAAATAGCTTCCATTATATTTCTTACCTGAAGGAGAGGGAGGAGATTGAGAATAGCAGTGTTCCCAGACTTCTCAGAATGAACCCTAATCGTCCTCTTCATCATGGTGTTCTTACCCATGAGCACCACAGAATCGCCTCTGAGCCCCTTCCTGATGTTCTGCAACTGGGTGGATCCAACATTGTCGGCAGCAACAATCAGGACCTGGCTGTAATCATCCAAGAGCTGACACATCTTGGAGTCATAGGCGAGCTTCTTATCAGCTTTCGACGGCTTCCCAACCATTTTCGCTGTCTGTTTCTAGATTTCTACAACAAACAGAGAAGACACTAAACCCTAACTGTGCGGCAGCGGAGGAAATGGATTTCTAACACGAAGAGCGAGGACCAAGACGAAGCTTCTGGAGCTCTGTCAAGGTGGACACACCGGCGGCGTCTCTTTAACCTCGCGGGTCGCAGCTGATTGGAGAAATGTAAAGAGGAAAAACCCTAGACGGGAAAATGATGTAAAGGCGGTAGTGAGAAATGGTGGATTTCGATCGGAATTTATATCTTTGTTCCTGATGGTAACCTAGATCGGACGGTTGATGTTTGCCTTGATCTGAATCGGACGCCTTCGGTTTACTTTACTTTTCGGCCCCGAACAGAGAGGTGTATGCAATCTTACATGGGCCACAGCTGGGTTTTTTCAGAAAAGAAAATGGGCCTAATTTGGTCTGGGCTCGGGGCGTAGGGCCCAAATAAAGGAATTCGGCAACAGAATTACCGAAATTTGCAGTAGAACAACCTATACTTCTACGACAGCTAATGTCGCTCCACCGGAGCCCGCCACTGCGAAGAGCTTCTTCCACTGTGCGGGAATGGCTTCTGCGTACAGAGATCGGACGGCGGAGTTCCGATCACTCACCGAGACGCTGAAGAAGATCGGAGGGTTCAGGCCCGACGTAGCTCAATCCCAGGAAACTGATCCATTCCTGCCTTCAAAGCAGCAGGCTTCCTCGGTCTCGGACAGATCCGAATTCAACAAGAAGGCTTCCCTGATCGGACTGGGAGTTCATGAGACCTCACAGAAGATCGCTAGGCTCGCCAAATGTAAGCTCCCTTTTCTTCGATCTCGTTAGATGTAGGGCTAGGAAGTCAATGGCTCTGGAGCTTAGGTTCTGCTATTATTGATGAATTTGAACAGTATGTGCCCGTTGGATCTTGACTCTAATTTTGTCTCAATTGTGCTCAAAGTACTTTTTTGGAAGATGCTAACAAACTGAAATCAAGTTTGTAGCAGTGAAAATAGGGAAATGGGTTGTTGATTAGTTTGAAATTTGGTGCTGAATTATGTAAATGTTGATTTGCGGTATTGGCTTTTGATGCTTGTGTCAAATATGCTGCAGTGGCAAAGAGGTCGTCTATGTTTGATGACCCTACAGTTGAGATTCAAGAACTGACAGGCCTTATAAAGAACGACATTACGGCTTTGAACACGGCTCTTACGGATCTTCAAACCCTTCAGAGGATGGAAATAGCTGATGGGAACTACTCCGAGGATAGGGTTGTCCATTCCACAGCTGTTTGTGATGACCTGAAGAACAAGCTCATGGGGGCTACTAAAGAGCTTCATAATGTGTTAACCACTAGAACTGAGGTAGATGTCCATGTCCCGTTTTGTATCTTTGCGAATTGCTCTTTTTATTGGCATTATATAGCTGACGCTGGTCACTTGCCCTTCTTCTAATGGTTGTTCCAACCCTCAGAATATCAAAGCTCATGAGAACAGGAAGCAGATATTTTCTGCAAATGCTTCAAGAGAAAACCCGTTTGTTCGTCAAACAAAACCCTTGGTTGAACCACCTCCTTGGTCAAGTTCAACAAATGAATTTGACCCTTCGCAGCCATCCTCGTAAGTTACCCTTCTGACACTTGAAACTTTCCTCTTTGGCCTAGCCATCCTGTCTTAAATTATTTCATTGCTGCTTCTTGTTTGCAGTCCAAATTTTTTACTTCTGTCCTTCCTCTGTTTAATTGATCAATTAATGATTATCTCATTGACATTTCTTTCCCTCCTTCACCAGATTGCCACCGAATGGTGTTCAAGCTGGCAACCAATTGAGGTGGGTATTGCACAGAACGTTGAAATCTGTCTTGTCATGGATTATTATTGAGTGGTCATTGTATATCCTACCCAATTTATCTGATTGTACAACTCTGTTAGGGTAATTTGCAACTCATAATTGATAATTCCAGAGTGCCCTCAGAATATCCATTATTTACTTCTCATTCGAATTAATTGTTCCAGAATGGTACTACCACATCTTACTAATCAAAAGAGCAAATGAACTGATAACTTCATGGCTAACCTTGGGCTGTGGCATTGATCCTTCTGAATCTAAATTCATCTGCTCATTAGATTTTATGCCGAACTGCACTTTCTAATCGTCTGAGCAAGGTTTATTGAACTTCCAACATCAGGCGGAGGCCAGCTGTTGATAATGCTCCTTCCCAACAAATGGAAATGTCCATGTTACAGCAAGTAGCCCCTAGTAGGCAGGAGAATTTAGCTCAAAGTCGTGCATCTGCTCTCCACAATGTGGAATCAACCATCTCAGAACTTAGTGGGATCTTTACACATTTGGCTACCATGGTTGCCCATCAAGGAGAGCTGGCTATTCGGTAACTTATATTTCTATATTTGTCCAGTTTGAACTCAAAAAACATTTTTTTTTTGGTTCTTGAACCGTTATTTTTATGAATTGACACAATCTAACAATGATCAATTGACAGAATTGATGACAACATGGATGAATCACTGTCCAATGTCGAAGGTGCTCACAGTTCTCTTCTGCGACATCTTAACCAATTATCATCCAATAGGTGGCTTCTGATCAAGATCTTTGCCATCGTAATTTTTTTTCTGATGATTTTCATCTTCTTTGTGGCTTGAGAAGACGAAGAGATGCCCTTATTTTTTGTGTTGTACCTTTTAACCATAATTTAGTTTGCTGTGCTCAAGGGTCCTCTCTGTTGTATATTTTATTTGTCTTTTCTTTGGTTGGATCCCCCTAGCATTTAGAGGCTGGATTGGCACAAGCATATATGTAGATCAGGCATTGTGTATCAGTTCACTTTACCAATAACCTTGATTTGTTTTGGAAGATTCGTGTGAAATTGGAATCATTTATTTGCAGAACCCTTTGGCACAAGCTTTCCTGTCTCAACCTAATTTCTGCTTTTTAGTGGCAGTGAACTTCTCCCTAGGAGCAGCAGCACACACCACTGATGTTCCTAATTTTTGTACAGAAACACATGAAATAGTGTTTGGATTTTGCCCTTTGCACGCAATTTTGAATTGATGAAGAAGCAACCAATTCCTCAATTTCTCTGGAACCTGATTGATTGATTTGGCATACTGGTGGGACTGAGAATCCACTACTATGTTGTTAGCTGTGCTGCAGAATATTCCGATCCTTTCCTTCTTTTTCATCCCCGTCTTCAGAACTCGGGAAGGAAATCTGTCATAGTGTGCAGCTGATTTTCTTGTGTTTGCCACAATATGCTACTTAGTGCTGAAACTACTTGAGAATACAAAAGAAAGTATAGGTTTTGGGGTTCTTGGCAGGCAGGCCAAGTGATCTTGCCACCCTGCTGTCTCTTCCCTCAAACTAAAGGTCGTTATCAGCTTCAGATCTGTTGGATCTTTGATAGCAACTAATTGAAACTTGAAAATGGAGGATTTATGAGTCACCCACATCTTATTTCTTTGCAATCAATCAAGGGTTAGTCTCATACAGAGAGAATAATGGGTAAAGATTGGATCTTTTTCTATTTGGTTGAGAGGATTTTGAGACTGGGTTGTCTAGCTGCTACCCTACCAGTACCAGGAGATAGGGTTGGATAGAAAAAAAGGTTATGTTTGGTCTGTGCTATTGATACAAGGAAAAGGAAAGGCACTTTGTAACATCTATGGTATCTTTTCCCTCTCCTTTCCTTTTGCAGCATTCTCTCAGCAAAGTTCTTCTCATTATTGCAATCAAGATAAGGCCATTCCCACGTTTGCTTGAAGAATCTTCATTACTGCAATTTTGTTGAATTGGTTAAAAGTAGCCTTTTTGAGGGGCAAGAAGCTTTCCTTTCCTCTCTAAACTCAAATCACACAACAAAGCATCTCTCTTCAACTTCTAACATTCCCTCTGCATTCATTTTTGGCCATACTTAATCACTGTCAGGGGAGTTTATACTTTCTGCGTTGGGGAAAGTTCAGTTTGTGAGAGCTTTGATAAGGGAGCAATGAAAACTAAACATTAGCTATCCTGTGATAATCAGTCTTAAAAAAAATACAATCTTAATATTAAACTAGAAAAAAAAATCATACAACGAAATAAAATCTTCGAATCATTAACTAATCACCCTCCTCTTTAATTGGAGACAAAGATCTAATAACTCTAATTTTTCCTGGGATAATCTTCATTGTTCACGTTTTTATTTTAATTTAGGTCACATTTCTTTAACATCAAATTGGATTCGTATTATCGTAACAACGATCTGAATAAGAATTTAAATGGACTAAAAGGAAATGATGAGTAATCTTTAAAAACAATAAAGATTGAACAAAAGTATTTTTGTTTTTCAAATTTTAATGTAATCATACCGGTTAAAATAAATAAATTCGATCATGAATATATCTTAAAATATTTATACAAAAAATAAAAATCATTTGCAAGTACTTATAAAAATGAATTTTTTTATTATTTGGATATTACAATCATATTCTCTGTTTTGTAACTTTGATTGACACCCTTGTTTTCTTTTTTAGTAATTAATCCAATTCTACTAATTCTTTGACTAAAGTCCATCAAGTCTCTAATGCATTGGATTGCTCCTTCTTGTTGCCGCACATTAACAGTTCATCCGCCAGATTATTCAAAACAACAATAGACTATTTGGTGAAAGCAGTTGCGTTTCTCTCTTTCTCCCCTTTCATTGGTCGCCCTGTTGTTGGGAAAACTAGAGGATGTAGGTCTTTGATTCGTTATGTATCTTTTTCAATTGATGGCCTTTGCCTAATATCTTCACTTGTTTATTCACTCATTGATAAGAATTGTTTGTTGAAACTATACATGATGAGGTAGTCTTTCCTACTTAAACATGTTTTACACGCCTTACTATAATTCCAACTTTCACCTATGGATGTGTAAATGCTATGTTGGGCTCACCATCTCGATAAAGTAACTCGAAAAGGAAAATCGTATAACATTGAATTTTAAACCTCTCCTAATGGCTCAAGTATGTGAAACAAAATGGGTTTTCGACATTGATAGCAGAATCGATTTGGCCACAAGATTAGCTGATAATCATTATAAAAGTCAAAGCTCGTTTGGTTGGCTCTTGTTTGAGTTGACATAACATGCATTTTTCAACAAAGTGTACGAATGAGGATTTTATCAACGACGAGTACGAATGACAACTACTCAAGCAAGGTCATGTTTAAATTTTTTTGGATTGTAGTTTAGACAAAGTGAGCTCAACATCCTAATATGGTCATATATGTGTTGTCTATAAAACAAAATATTGTTGTTCATATGTCAAACAAAATATATAACAAACCATTGTGCAAGTAGAGAGAGGATAGTAGTACCATCCAAAATTACTTTAATTATTAGTCTCTCCTTATGAATGCTTACTGGCTAGACCTTTTCTGTTTAGGCTAATTAGAGCTTTTTTAGGTCAAGATGTGGATGGAACTAGATGGGTCATGGGTCGTTGTTGTAAAGTAATACTCAAGCAAGCATTACTCAAAAAAATACATAATAACAATTGTTTTGTAGTGGACAGAAATTATCATAGCTCTATATGGGTAATATTATACTGGTTAAGTATATGTTTATTTTCTATAGTGTTTAAGTAAGTACCAAGTAGTAACCAACCCACTTTAACAAACCTACAAAAATGGGTATTGTGTTGAGTTATTACTCACCTATAGGCTATACAAAGCTCGATGATGTTAGATTCATTATTATACATTTCTCGTTAACTCGTGTTATTGGGATCAACCGGCTCATGACAAGGTATTAGAGCCTCTATAATTGAGAAGTCTATTGTTCGAATCTCGACGACCTCGTTTGTTAAGCGCATGGTGTTAGGACCTGTGCAATTTCAAGTCCATATGAATTGGCTTTTGTATATATCATTGAACATCTCTAAACAATTCAAATTATGAAGATAAACTGGTTATTTCCATTAATTTTTAGGCTAATTTAGTTTGTTAATTGTTGGTATGTATGAGAACTAATCCATGCGCTCACAATAAGTTAGGGTAATGGAAATTTTGTAGACTTGAAGAACTCGAAGAAGGCAAGTTAAATTAGCCTCGACTTCACGCTTACATAGAGTTAATCCTTGAACCCACGCAGTCAATTCTTACGTACATATCCTCCTAATCAGTAAGCTTAATTAAGAGGTTGGTATGCTCATAAAAGATAATAATACTTCGTGGTAAACCCATTTGATCAATCAATGTTTGGTAAAAACTTTAATTAAATGTTATCTTTTACATTGTCACTCACGCAAGAGATCGTTAAACTTAATCAGGACTTATCATCTCAGTAAATCAAATATCTCTTATCAACGGTTCTCTAAAAACTGTGCGCAAAAGCATTATTAGGTCTAACAATGATGAAGAAGGTTTAAACTTTAAAGACATAGCTTCAATTTTACAATTGGCTAAATACATGCTTCTATAATTCTATATATACGAAGTCGTCGATGAATAATGTCAAATTAATGATTCCAAAGCCCATTAAATTAGTAATTACTAATTACCCTATAAAAATGATAAAGTAGGAAGAAAAGCCCACTAAAATGATCGGAGAGCTAAGGAAAAAGGATGTCCTAGGATGCTCTCATTCAAATCCTAAATAATGGAGGATTCTGTAGATGATGAAGAATAAGGGGAGATGGTGATTGGTGACATGAAAATGCCCAAAGATAAACACACACAGAAAGCTATTATTGGCCTCAACCTCATTGTCAATATTTAATTTATCATTTTTCTAGGATGTTAGGAATTTATGCCTCTGAGCGTTTCGGGTCGACACAAAGTGAGTTTCAGACGTATAGTAGTATGAGAATATACTTTGATGATCAAGTTAGCCGCAAAAAATTCAAGAAGTGAAAAAAAAATTATTTGAGAGATAATGTATTATCTTATCCTTTCTATACGTGAGCGGCGAGTGCTAATTATTAAAAGAAGAGAAACTCCAATAATCAAGTGATTATTCTAGTGTAGGATGTTATCCCAATGTGATGTCTTTATTCTTTGGATTTTGGTTGTTATTTTCATGATACTCGTCCTTACAAAGACTCTTAATCGTGACTTTGATGCGATTGTAACTAACGGAATCTCATACCATCTTAAACGTTCACTCGATCTGGATAAAATTTGTATGAATACCATTTGGTACTAATGAGGGCTATAGCCTATAAACCATTCGGTTGTTTGATCATGTACTTGTTTTAGTTTAATGCAGATACTTCCAAGCTTGGTACCAGTATTAGAGCTCACCAAAGTAATCAAAAGCATGAAAAATCTTATAGAATAACAAAAGGACATATTCTATGAATAAAAAGAAGGGAAATTCATATTCTGATATATCCAAAGAAGAGCTTTCTGAAGATTGAAAAAGCACCAAAGCCAACCAAACCAATAAGAAAAAAAGGAAAGACGAAAAAGGCAAATTTAATTATAAAAAAATAACTAAAAGAGAGATTCTGTAAATGGTGGGTTTGTTCTCAAGTACTTAGGCCTAATCATTGTTGTCAGACAAATTTGGTTGCTTACGATGGGGTATGCCTAATTGCCTGTGAGGAACTTAATACCAAATCTTCAGTCTAGTGTCAGCAGGCTGATGTAAATACTGTTAATTAGCACCCACATTTCATAATTCCAATTTTAGTATTCTAGATCCAATTCTACTTTTATTTTTCAATCTCCATTATTATTATTTTCCTCGTAATGGTATCCAACTATCCATGTTGTACATATTTTTTACGGTATAGAGAAGATAAAGCGAGAAAACATATATTGTATTTTGATATTCGAGTTTTATCGAAATCTGTCATGTTAGTATTTATCAGTAGAAGATTTATATTCTCCCTAGTAAAGAGAGACCAAATCCTATGTTTTCAGGATCAAAATAGTTTAGGGACTAATAAGTGTTAGAGTGTGGTATATGATTCACAATTGAACCTCTCTCAACAACTCGAGTTATTGGAACCAACTGGTTCTTAACATGATATCAATGCCTAGAACCGAAAGGTCATGTGTTCGAATCTCCACGACCCCCAATATTAACTGTTTATTAAAGCACAAGATATGGTGGGTCTGTGCAAACTTCAAGCCCGTGATTTGGCTTTCGTTTGAGGGGGCGTGTTAGAGTGTGGTATATGACCCACGATTGAACCTCTCCCAACAACTCGAGTTACTGGGACCAACTGATTCTTAACAATAAGAATTGAGAACTAACAATAAAAAATCATCCTTAAAAGCGGAAATTAGAAGAAGAAATATAAATAGAAATGTAAGATTTTTCTACGGTGACTTATAAGCGACTTGGATAAAACGTTCGATTGGTTTTGACAAATGGTAAACTACATTTGACAAACAGTGCTCTATAGATTTTATTTCTTAGAGTTGATTTACTTTGTACATGATTTCATCTTTTCCTCAAATTATACTTGTGTTTGTTTTTAATTTTATAATTATCTTGTAATGGAGCAGCTTTCACATATCGTTAATATGAAGAAACTTAAACGCATGACATCATTGTTATACAATTGTATCATTTTCAACATAAAAAAATCTCCTATCATCTTCCATTTGCAACTCGAAGTGAGAATAGATTAGCTAGCTAGGGTTTCCTGAATCACTCAAACTAATTTTAACTTTGGTGAAAAAATAGGGTAAAATATCTCGGGCACCACTTAAGTTTGAGAATTGGGGCACACATACCACTTAAATTTGAATATGGCGTCGAGTACCATTAAAGTCGCCAAAATGTGCATCCGTCTAGTTTTCCATCCAACCCAAAATTTTAATTACTTTTTGGTACCCAAAAATTTTAAAAACATCCAAAACTATATTTTAACAAGTTTTTATCTAATATAGAAATTAAAAAACCTTCTAAACATAATTTTACTAAAATGACTAATCAAAATTGACAATAAAATAGATAAATTAGTAACAATAATAAACAAATATCAAGAATAAGAATAAATATATAGAATATAATAATAAATATTTAAAATCAATATTAGAAGATCTATTTAAATCACTAATCCAATTAGAAGTACTATTAAAATAATTAAAATAGAACCTAGTCGATCATCAATACATCAAGACCAAATAAGGACAAATGAAATCGAGTCAAAAAGAATTAAACATATTCTTGTAATTGAAGAAATTATAGAACGAAAAGAGAACGGAAGTAACCAAGTAATAACTAAATAAAATCTACAACATTCCGTAACAAATCTAGAAAAGAAAATACGACTATAGGAAGAGAATTAGAATTAGTAAATTGAATTAATATGGAACATCTAAAATATAATATTAAAAAATTACAAGAATATTTAACATAGAAAATTAAACAACACAAGCATGATATACTTATAATGATAATTGATTCTACATTTCCTATTCAAAAATTGGTTTGGTATCAAAGTCTTCAAAAGAGGATTCCAACTAAATAGAATTCATAGGATATATTTGCTTTAGAGAATAATTTAATTATTAGAAAACATAATGATAATTGAAAATACTTATAATGATAGTTGATTCTAAGTTTTCTATTCAAAAATTAATTTGGTATCAAGTCTTCCAAAGAAGATACCAAGTAAATAATAAAAATTGATGTTTTTCATAAGTCAAAAATAATTTTTTACAATAAGAAAAGTAGAAGGACCAATTAAGAAATTTAGAAAACAGAATATTCCGAGAATATTCTGTTAACTGAATGCACCCAACATTACACTTAAGTGGTACCGGGTGCACAAATAATAGAGTTCAGTGGTACCCAACGCCCTATTCAAACTTAAGGGGTGAATTGCAAACTTGGTCACCCATATTGCTCATTTATAACACTCTAGCCACCCGAATAAAAAACTATTCAATTTAGCCACTAATATTATCCGTTTATGTCATATTTGGTCACTCGCCGTCTAGTTCTGTTAAGTATATCCTACGTGACAGTCAACTATAATGTTTGACCGTTAAAAAGCTTATGTGTCAATTAATAAAAATAATTATTTTTTATTCCATCTCACAATAAAAAATGTAAAAATAACTGAAAACCAACAAGAAAGAACCAAAATCCCTCTATCTCTCCACCGTCGGTCTCATCCCTTTCTCACTCTTCCTCTCACAGGCATCTGCCACAAAAACCCTAGATCTACCCCACCATAGTTAGCCAGAGCTCGGCCACCGAGCTTCGCCCCCTCTTACCCGATCGGACTTTGCTTGTCGTGCACTTCCGGAGATGAATTGAAGCGCCGACGTTCATTCATATGTCCAGTACGACCCCTTGGTTGGGAAGTTCAAAGATTCCTCCTCATGTTCGCTCTCTCGATTCCTCATCGGCGCCGCTCTATTTCGTTCTTGCCCATGTCCAAAAATAATTCCAACTCGGAGATTCCAAATTGAAGTAGTAGTAATCTGCGGCGGGGGAGAGGAATTTGATGATGAATAAGGATAGTCCTTCTAGATACAGAAGCGCCAGAGCGATGTCGTCATTGTTTCAGCGATGACCCTTTCTCTGCCTTTTTCTGCCGCTGGCAACGTAAATCAGATACCATGTGTCGTTTTTGGCACCAAACGGGGACGAATCAGCGATAGGTATAGGCAACGAAGCTCCACTGGGGCTCCCGTTGCTTGAAACCGACATGCTTCCCATCCCGTTCAGCGTCAATTTGGGCGACCCAGCCACAACCCAGTTCAGGCGGCGGTGAATCGATGGTCGGCTGGGGGCGAATCAATGGTTAGAACTCCGGATGGTTGATGAATGGTGGTCTTGCGAAGTTGCAATGTGAAAGGCGGCGAAGCTGGTGGGAGGAGAAGTCACCATTTTCTGGTCGGCGGTTGTGGGAGGAGAAGAGGAGAGTGGTGAAGAGCTTGGGGAGAAGTGAGGACTGAGAAGGGGAGATTTCTTTTAGATTTTTCATTTTAAGATTTTCATTTTAATTTTAATTGTACTTTGATAAAAAAAAAATTGATGTGTCAAATGATGTGGCGCCTATGTGGTTGTCACGTCACCACTTTAATAGTCAAAGATAATTTTTGACCACCACGTAGGACTCACTTAACGGAACTAGATGGTAAGTGACCAAATATGACATAAACGTATAGTATTGGTGACTAACTTGAATGGTTTTTTATTCGGGTGGTTAAAGTGTTATAAATAAGTAATATGGGTGGCCAAGTTTGCAACTCACCCCAAACTTAAGTGATATGTTTACCCCAATTCTCAAACTTAAGTGGTACTCAAGGTATTTTACCCTGAAAAAATATGATTATTAGTCAAAGAAGATAACTACAATAGAGAAGAAAAGAGAGACAGGGAGCATATTAGGGAAAAGTTGCGATAAAGAGAACTGAAAAGAAAGCGATTAAGGAGAAAGATTAAGAAGATGATGGGACTGGTGGTAGCTCAAAGCAAATGGCCCCCTCAAATCCCACTAACTAAACCCATTCTTATCATTGGAAAACAATTCTCCTGATAAGAAAATAGCCGTTTTAGGTTCCATACATTTAGCAAAAGAAAACAAAAAAATCTGTAGTCTGCTGTCAAATTTTGATTGGGTTGGTCGAACTAGTATAGGGTTGTCTATTTGGTGGTAAGAAATTAAAAGTGCTTTCTTCGTACTCTCCTTAGTGGGGTTCAATTTTGTTTCTTTGATGTTTTTCAGCTATGTGATTCTTTGTATCTAATTATTTTCTCGTTAATACAAGTGATTTTCTTTGAGAAAAAAAAAAAAAGAAGAGTATGTATGTCTTGTTTAAGAATCGTTTTAAGTTATAACGAAAAAAGGAAAGAATGGTAACTCGTTGATCAAGGTAAAACAAATCATGCGGTGGTGTTTTGCTTTTGTTGTTGTGAAGGCTAGTCCTCTACTCATCATCTTCCTCGTGTTAGTGTTAGTTTAACATGATTTGAAGAGGTTAAAACTAGGGGTGATAATCGGTTGGTGGTTTCTTGCATAAACCGAAAACCGACCCGAACCGAATGGTTATTAACCAAACCGAAAACCGATAGCTTGCCTTCGATGGCGGTGTCGGTGTGCTGTTTTGGTGATTTCTATTCACCGAAAACCGCAGGTGGAGAAACCGAGATAAACTCGGTGCACCGAGTAACCGTCCCGCCGCTCTTTTTTCCCTAATCCCCCTCCGATTCCAAGTCTCAACCCCTCCGTCCGCCATCGAAATCTAGCGAACGAAGGCCAAGAAGGAGAAGGGGTAGCTGCAGTGGTGAAGATCGATCGCCGGTCGTCGTCGCCATCCCGTCCTTCTTCATCCTCCAGATCGAAGGCCAGGCGGCAGTAGCAGCAGGTCGATTTGATCGATCCTCTGTCGCCGGCAGTCGCAGCAGATCGATCCTGGTCGCCGTCATCGTCCCCTGCATCGCCCTGTTCCATCCTCACCGCCGTCCCTGAAGCTGAAATCGTCGTCATCCCGTCAACCCATCCCTTCTGTCGGTCTTCAGTTAACCGCGACACCGACCCAAAACCGTCGACGGCGGTTTTCGGCTAACCGATAAGTCGATCGGTCTCGGTGGCGGTTGCTGTTTTTGGGTACTCGTCAGCTGCAATTAACCGCGGTTGCGGTTCGGTTATAACCGAAACCGCACCGCTAACAGCCCTAGTTAAAACACCAAATTAATTCAAAAGTGAGACATTCAGGTTCAAGATCAGTAATAGTATCGCCCGATTAGGTATTTGGAGTCTCCCACACGTATTAAAATCAACACATGATGTTAGTAAACAGTATATGATCAGTTAGACAACGGAAGATTAGCTTGATGGAGCAAACTAATACCAATCTCGACAATATGACGATGTTTACGCTCAGAAAGGTCGTTATGCTCAGGAGTGTATGGGGGAATGAGGAGATGAGTGATGCCATAAGATGAAATATCGGATTTAAGTTTTTGAAACTCCCCCCCCCCCCCCTCCTATCAGTATAAAAACGACGAATAGAGGTTTGGAAATAGTTTTCGACCAGCTTCTTAAAGACAAGAAAGACGGACAAAACATCGAATTTGAATTTAAGAGGGTAGAACCAAGTATAACGAGTAAAGTGATCGATAATAACTAGATAATAAGAGTAGCCATCTTCATAACAAACAGGGGCAGGACCCCAAACATCCGAAAACAAAAGATCAACCAGACGACTACTAGACAGACTAGACCTTTATGACTCTTATTCGACAAACACGAGTTACAATGAGAAACCGAACGACTCGTATGAGGAAGTGGATGAACTAGAAGAAGTCGCAACTGAGACTTGGAGGATGGATGACCTGAACGACTATGCCAAGAATCATGAGAGTGACGAGTGGTGACTAGGGCGACGCAAACAACTCCAAAACCACTAGGAATTCCGTAGATGTCACCTTTATTAGAATTAATTCGTTCTTGACACATGACGCGCTAAGTATTTCAAAGAGGGGCTCAATCCTTTATCCATAATGACAAGGTGACTCTGCAAGCATCTTGATTTGCAGATAGAAAAGAATTTGTACTAGTAATGCCACGAATCACATTCAAACACCTACTGACTTGTTATATCAACTATGGTGTTTTCTCTCTTCAAGGAATTAATTGCCTAATTGAACAAAAGTTAAAATTCACAATTAACTTGAATGTATAATGTAATTAATTCAATATGGAAGATTTTCATACCATATTTCGTGAGGAGAAAATTTGTCAAGGTGATCAATAAAAAAACACAATTTCCATAATTGATCAAATTAAATCAAGCATAAAGCAAAGAGGGACAATAATGGGGAAGGAAGCTCAGTAACACTTCCTCTCACTCTTGTGTGTGCGCGTCTCTCTCTCTCCTCTGTCTCTGCATCAAATCTTGAACAGAAGGAGGAAGAACAAGGAAATCGCAGTATATATATCCAGAGAAGAGAAACCCCAAAGGGAAAAGACAAAGCAATTTCACAAGATTCTTCTTTTCATCAAACGCTAATCCAGTTCAGCCTACAGCCCACCAAAAAGAGGAAGCCAAGCCACTGAGTGAAGCGAGTTTCTCTCTGTCAAAGCTGCAGAGCTCGAATTCAAGAAGAAAAGAAAACAGAGCACCCATCAAACTCTGTTTTTCCTTCCCAACCCCTGTTCTTCCTCTTTCCCCAGGAGCTTTCCTATTTGGTTCAGAGATATTTCTCTAGAATCACTCAATTTTCGTCTTAAAAGGGCGGGAAATAGAAGAGTCTCCCCTGTTTTTGGATTTTTAAGCCGGTGGTTGGTGAGTGAACAATTAAATGGCATTAGTGACAATCTCGTCACTCCGAAAGATTTTCCCTTTTATCCCCATCTGATTTTTTTATCAGGAAACAAACGTCGAGAGAATATTTGTTGCTTTGCTCCAGAGTTTTGATTTACAGTCAAAGAGCGAGCAGAAGCAAAGAGAAACGAGAAAGAGCATGGACGGAAAAAGGCAGCTAAAAACTTGAAGAGGGGTGGGCAAAGCTTAATTGCTGGAGAGTCTCACATTTGTCAAACAGTGGAATAAAAAAAAAAAACAGAGTGCTCTGCCATCACTGGATATAAGTCCCCTTCAACACTTCACCAACTCACCGTATCTCAGATCTACAGAATCAGGGTAAAATCGAGACATTAAAAATGTTGTCAGAGAAGCAAGCCGAAGAAGCCATAGTCTCCAGCTTCGACGAAACCGTCCCTGTTTCTTCTGCTTCCGCCGGCGACCACCTGGACGGGAATGAACCAGAGCACGATGATGACGGCGGCGACCCTCATCATCAATCCGAGTTTAGCCTCAAGAGCATTTTCTGGCACGGTGGCTCTGTCTATGATGCCTGGTTCAGCTGTGCTTCCAATCAGGTCCCTTCCCACTTCTAAAGTTCACATCTTTTCTCCTTCTCCTTCTTCCTGGGTTCTGAATTCCCATTTTGAACTTGTTAATCATCAGGTTGCGCAAGTGCTGTTGACTCTGCCATACTCCTTCTCCCAAATGGGGATGCTCTCAGGGATAATACTGCAGCTCTTCTACGGATTCATGGGCAGCTGGACTGCTTATCTGATCAGTGTTCTGTATGTTGAGTACCGAACCAGAAAAGAGAAAGAGAATGTCAGCTTCAAGAACCATGTCATCCAGGTCAATTCCACTTCGCCCACAACCTTTTTCTTAAAGTTAACAATCGAAGCGCAATCAGACATAGTGATTTTCGGCTTGTAAATTGCAACAGTGGTTCGAGGTGCTGGATGGGTTGCTGGGTCCGACTTGGAAAGCAGTTGGCTTGGCATTCAACTGCACTTTCCTCCTCTTTGGCTCTGTCATTCAGCTTATTGCCTGTGCAAGGTCAGATTTTTGTTCATAATTGTGATGACTATTATAATTATGACGTTTACCCTCGTTTTGTTTTACCCAATTCTATAATGGGCTCGACTCAAATCTTTGTTTTCTTTAGATAATTTAATAAACTCATGCTGTGATTTTCGTTACATTACAGCAATATATACTACATCAACGACAAGTTCGATAAGAGGACGTGGACTTACATATTTGGAGCCTGCTGTGCCACCACCGTCTTCATCCCTTCCTTCCACAACTACAGAATTTGGTCCTTCCTTGGCCTTGGAATGACCACTTACACCGCCTGGTACTTAACCGCAGCAGCCCTAGTTCATGGCCAGGTAAACAAATCAAAATTTACTGTTCACTACAATTGTGTATTAAGTAAGTATCAACATTTTGCATATCCAGACTCAAAACATTCTGTTACGTGAGACAGGATCGTGGCGTGGTTCACTCTGGACCCAAGAAGCTGGATCTGTACTTCACAGGCGCCACCAACATATTGTACACATTTGGTGGTCATGCTGTTACTGTGTAAGTACTAACATTACTCCGAAATGTCGAAACGAGATCGTAATTCGGTCGAATGTGGTGTACTTATCAAGTCGTCGCGTGTCGCGCAAACTTATTCGAAATAACCTTCCATGCAGGGAAATAATGCACGCAATGTGGAAGCCGCAGAAGTTCAAGTACATATACCTGCTCGCGACGCTCTACGTGTTCACCCTGACCCTGCCATCGGCAGCAGCCATGTACTGGGCGTTCGGAGACGAATTACTCACCCATTCCAACGCCTTCTCCCTCCTCCCTCGCACCGGCTGGCGCGACGGTGCCGTCATCCTTATGCTCATTCATCAGGTTCGATTAATGTTCCCTTCTACGCTACACATTACAAGGACTCTTTTTAAGTCTCGACCTTTGGGTTGACTATTTGGGCGGATTTTTTCCGGCTCGCAGTTCATAACGTTCGGGTTCGCCTGCACGCCGTTGTACTTCGTGTGGGAGAAAGTGGTGGGAATGCACGACACCAAGAGCGTGTTGAAGAGGGCACTCGTGAGATTGCCGGTGGTGGTGCCGATATGGTTCTTGGCCATCGTGTTCCCCTTCTTTGGGCCCATCAACTCCGCCGTGGGTGCTCTGCTCGTCAGCTTCACTGTCTACATCATCCCTGCCACGGCCCATATGCTCACCTATCGATCCGCCTCGGCCCGTCTGGTGAGTAAATGAATTTCTGTATTGGCACAAAATAAATGAATGGGCCCCATTCAAGCCCATTCTCTTCTCTTGGCCATTGCTGTTGAAGATGGTGACAGGTTGATAACAGTGATAACAAGACTAGTTGTTCAGGCCATAATTTGGACTTATCTGTTTCCATAATCGATTAGGATTACGGTTTAGATGTGAATAGTGTTGATTGTATTACAGACAAAACAGAGGGATTAGAGGGCTGATTAATATTTGATAGAGAGATCAATGAATAACTAATCAGTTTTAACGAGGACAAGAAAAGTGAGTAGTTGGAACTTGGAACATCCTTTTTCAATTTTAGTTATCTTGGTAGGTTAGTTTTAGGTTCACTCTCATATTCTCTTCTCTTGCAAAATGACACACAGAAACCTCCCAACCCAACCCAACCCAACCCACCACACCTCACGTCATCACTAATGAGTTGACATGACATCCTAACCAATTCGTACCAATAATGCATCTACATGTATTTAACAACTAAGACCGCATGATCGGTAATCCGACGTTGTTAGAACGTACGTACGAACACTTACCACCAGCATGGGAAACGAATTCGTTACGGTTTACCTTGAATTGGTATAATTTTACAGTGGATTGTGGTTTACATTTTTTTTGGTGGGGGTTTTGTGTGTGGGAAAAAAAAACAATGTGCAGAATGCAGCAGAGAAGCCGCCGGTGTTTCTGAGGAGCTGGACGGCGATGTACATAGTGAATGCATTCGTGGTGGTGTGGGTGTTCGTGGTTGGATTTGGGCTGGGAGGATGGGCCAGCGTCACCAATTTCGTCCGGCAAGTCGACACCTTTGGGCTGTTTGCCAAGTGCTACCAGTGCCCGCCGGCGGTTGCCGCCAAGCATCATTAAGCTGCGGCGGCCGACGCCGGTCTCCGTTCCCCATAGCATTTGTTAGTGGTTTTGGGTTTGAATCTGTAGCAGGTATATACATCTATGTTATACATACAGGGAAGGGGCTGATCAGTTTGATTGACTCTGGCTTTCTCTGTATCACATATGTTGTTTTTATCTTTTTTGTCTGTGTCTTAGACAACTTGCTGTTATATTCGTGAGAAAGTGTGGCAGGGGGATGAGGTTTGTTATTTGTGAAACTTTGAAAGAAAATCGCAGTATTGGGAAAATTTCTTCCTCTATTCCTGATGTTCATGTCTTGGTATGCAAATTATAATACGTTTGTGTAATTGTGTTTGTATGAAGTGGTAAATGGCTGGTTACATAATAAATACTATTATCATGGGAAATGATGAAGATCTTGAGTGGAATGGATGTGGGAAAACTGAAGAGCAAACGAACAAAGGTTTAACTATATTTTATTTATCACAAAAACCGTAAGGTAGTATGTTTTCTGTTGAATATGATGTAGTTTTTCTCATCGTCTCACTCTTTTAACTGAATTTGTGATTTTTTCCTAAACCAAACTTCTCATTATTCACCTCTGGTTTGCGCAACAATTTGATCCATCGTATTTGGATTGGATCAAGTTGAATTAAATATATGTGGTCCAGTGTTTAAATTTTTACTATTGTATATAATTATTAACGAATGGTTTAAAGCAAACCAAATTAAAATAAACTTTTGACGTGTGTTTTTAATCCTCAAATTTTCTTTACTTTCGAATTGGTTCTTTTATAATTAGAGATCTATAATTAAATTCAACCGTTGCACACCTCGAAAACCACAACCAAACTCTCAAAAACCTTTTATTACATAAAACAAAACTACTCAATTGAGATATTGTTACAATAAATTTTCAGATTTCCTATCAACACATTGTTTTCTCTAATTATATATCTTATGCACCACAATCCATCTATATGCACAGTCATATTAAAATATACATATAACATAAGTGTTTTGCCAATTAATTAATCTTAATCCACTTCCCTAAGATGATCCCAAAAGGTCAAAACCGAATTTTCTATTGTAGTTTGTAGGTCACCCCATTTGGCAATTTGCCCTCTAATCCAAAACCACCATCTTAATGGGCCTACTTTGACTCGCCTTTGACTTGACGCCATGACACCCTCTTGGCATGATTTGTTGATTTCAACCTGATTCTGGGCGGACCACCTCTCTCTATCAGTCCAACCGGAGGTAAAACGGAACGACAGACCCAGATAGGAATAGCATTGGCCAAAAAGCCTGAAAATCCTAGGCGGACGTCCGCCGGCGAGAGCGCAGTGGCTGATTCTGCATTTCTACTTCTTGAAGAATTCTTCTGGTCTTCCCGTTTACCGATTTCACTTTCAGGGTTTTGTTATTTTGTGATTTCCCGAAGGAGGAGGAGAAAAGACAAAAGACAAGAAAATTGGGGTTCTTGCGTCTTCCTTTTTTTCAGGCGACAACAATGGCTCCCAGAGGCCGGAAGAAGGTGATGGGGGCACTGATTTTTTCTACCTTTTGGACTCTCTTCACCCTTACTTCTTTCTATGTTGAAATCCCATTTGGGGGGTAAGTTTCCATCTTTCTGATCGTTTGGCTTTCTCTCTCCTCTTGTTGTTTCCGGTTCAGGTGGGTCTGAAGCGAAAGGACGCCGCCATTGATGCAATGCTGATGATGGGCTTCCCCCGTAAACTGATCAACCAAACCATCACCGAGCTCTTGAAAGTGAGTGTCCAAAGATTGATCCTTTTCGTTCTCTGAATCTTGTGTTCGTTTAGACGAATTGATGGAGTTTCGGTCTAGGCTTACGGCGGCAATGACGGTTGGATATTTATCGAGATGGACTCCTACAAAGCCCTCATTGAAGCCATCCTGGAGAAAGACGTCCCAGCGGTAAAACCCTTTGATCCTTTTCCTTGTCTTGTTACCAGAAAGTTGGACATATGCTCTCTACCTACTTGAAATTGAAAAGCCATTGTCGAATTTCATCAATGCACCATCTGAGATTTCAATGAAACAACTCAAGGGTTTAGAGCTAGTGGCCAGCCATGAGCCCTGTTCTCTAACCGATGCTTGCTTGCGTACTTGCTATTTGTCTTTGTTGCAATGGCTTCTAATCTGCCTGTTACGAACTCAAAGCCGGCTGGCATTATGCATTTGGTTATGATCTTGAGCTGAAACATACACGGTGAAGTCTTCTCCAAAGAAATGAATCTTTGTTTGACTATTGGTTGCAACTCTCATGTGTTTCTTGTTGGTGAAGGCGGAATGCTCAGAGGATGACAACTTAGGTGGCAACAGCAACATACTCTCTGAAGCTGGGTCCTCTAGTGTTCCACCACCACCACCTGTTCATGAAGAGGTTGCTACACTTTCATCACCACCTGATGATGGTCTAGACAGTGCGTCACAGACCGAGGCAGCTGTGAATCCTCGGTTCCCCATTCCTGAATCTGGTAATGAAATTTTGCTTACTTAATTAAGTAGGATGAATTGTCTGGTTTCGTGCTATCAAGTAAATGACTCAGCTGACTAATGAAAACCCAATAATTCCCTCTCCTTGGCAGAATGCAGTGTCTTCACATCACCAGTCGAAGAAAGGGGAAAAGGTGCTGCTGCTAGACCTCTGGACCACATTTCTAAGCTAAGCAACTCCATGGTTTCATGCTCGATTGAAGATCCAGGTCCAACTCTCTCCTTTGCAGAATGTGCCTTCACATCCCCAGCTGAAGAATGCGAAGTTGCTGCCCCACCAGACCAGGTCTCCAACTCTGTGGCTCCACGCCGTGATGAACATCGAGCTCCACGTCTCTCCTCGCCAGCATGCAAGGTCTTCACACCCCCAGCAGAAGTAAGTAAAGTTCCTGACCGCCTGGAGCCGGCTCCTAACCTAAAAAACGACTCCATGGCTCCATGCTTTGAGGAACATCCAGCTCCTATTCCATCTCCCATGAGTGATAAGCATAGGCCGCCTTGCCATGGCTGGAGAAAGCGTCCTCGTTATGATGAGCCAACAAACATCGCGGAACTTGAGCCATCACCATTGCCGGAGAAATTGTTGAAGTTGTTTGGCAGAGACAAGCCTAGGCCACGGAAGAGAATGTGGGATGTGAAGAGCTAGGAATGGTTGTGAAATTTGCTTGAGAATACAAGTAAGGTCTGCTTTTTTGGCTATGGTTATGTAATGATTAGGAAGTTTGTTGTAAGGCCTGTTTGTAGATCTCTTGGCTGGATATGGAACATGGAAGACAACTGTAGGAAGGAATGAGCAGGTTTATAGTGGTGTAGGGAGTTCCAGTTTACGGGAATCAGGAAAGCTGTTGATAGTTTTGTTTTGGCCTTTGGGAAACTGACCCAACTTGTTTGTGATGTAGGTGTATGGTTTCAGTCTAACTTGTTTCGAGTGTATGGAATTGTGGATACAGTGTTGGTGAAGACTATACTCGATACAGTGTTAGTGAATTGTTTGAGAAAACATCTGAACAGATTCCAGTTCAAATTATAATAGTGGATAGTAGTCTAAATTTCATAAGGGAGATGAGTTGTGTAACATTTGTCAAATTTTAATAACAGAAAGCAGTCTAAATTTCACATGGAAAATGATTTGTGCAATAAGGTGACATGATCTATTGCAAGGTCATTGAACTGCGGGCTAATTGATCAGTCAAATCACTTCGATCGGAATATGGTATTCTAATAAGGTGACATGAACCTAATAGAGAGTAGGCCGGGACTCTATCAAACTCGAATAAACTAACTGATCTGATTGGCTGGCCAAATTGTTTTGAAATTATTTCAAAACAAGCTAAATATTTAAACGATGTTCCTCACCATTATAAAAAAAAATTAAATGAGGTTGTTAACGGTCAAACCTTTAAAATTATAGTCTCAAATCAACAATTTCATCACTGAATTAAACATGAATTTGTGCTATCTTACAATCTCTGATCTTATACTTACCTTTGGACCCCATAGGAATATTTTGAAGATTGAGTAGTTTTTTATTTTATTTTTGGGTAATGTGTATTTTTTTATTCAAACTTTTTTCAGATTCTTTTATATTATTCAAACCTATTAAAATGTTATTAGTTAACCAAATTTTTCGTAATGCATCAAAATATTAGTCATTTACACATTTTTTATTTTATTGTTAATAATTTTGTTAGTTAAAATACTAAAATTTTGCAATGTTGACCTTCATGTGCCTCTTCCAAGTCAGTATCATGTTGCTAAGTCAATATTACTAACAAAATTGCTAACTGAAAGTTAACATTTGGCTAATTTTTAGTATTTCGATAGGTTTGGATAATATAAAAGAATCTAAAAAGGTTTGGATAAAAAATAGACATTACCTTAGTTTTTTTCACAAAAGAAGAAGATTGAGTACTTTAGTTTCTATATTTTGAATTCTGTGTACGAGTATTTGAATGTAGATGTTATATGTTGGTTCAAGTATGCGATAGGTTTTTTTATATTGAGATTTAAGTATAAACGTTTGATGTTGGCATTGTATGTTATATTTGAACTTTTGTCATGTTTTTGTAATGTTGTATTTTATTTAAATGTAAATGTCAAAAAATTATTGAAATTTGAAATAATTAATATAACTACGCAATTAGTGGCGGAGCCACATGCCACCAAGGGAGGTCGCATGCACTCCCTTGGCCAGAGAACAAGATTGAGTACTTTAGTTTTTAGATTTTGAATTCTGTGTACGAGTATTTGAATGTAGATGTTATATGTTGGTTTAAGTATGCGATTACGTTTTTTCTATATTGAGATTTAAGTATAAACGTTTGATGTTGACATTGTATGTTATATTTGAACTTTTGTCAAGTTTTTGTAATGTTGTATTTTATTTGAATGCAGATGTCAAAAAATTATTGAAATTTGAAATAATTAGGGTTAATGCTTTAGTTTGGCCCAAACTATAGACAAACTTTCTATTTTGGCCCGTGTTATCGGAAATTGTTATTCTAGCATTACTATGTAGCATACTTCTTTATTTGGCCCGAATGTGGGTTTGACCGTCAAATTGGACGGTCAACTTGGTTGACCGTTAGTCAAAGTCCAGCTTACTTGCCACATAGCAGAGAATAATTTTTTTTAATTTCTGTATTTTATTTCCTTGTCAAAAAAAAATTCTGTATTTTGTTTACTTTCTAATAATAAAAAAATTGATATTATAAAAAAATTATATATGATGAATGTCGATCACATCTTCCACACCACCAACAAAAAGAATTTGTATGATAAAAAAAATATTATTTTTTATTATTAGAAAGTAAACAAAATACAAAAAATTTTAAAAAAATTATTTCCTGCTAGCTGATGTGGCAAGTGAGCTGGACCTTGACTAACGGTCAACTCGGTTGACCATCTAATTTGACGGTCAAACCCGCCTCCGGGCCAAATAAGGAAGTATGCTACATAGTTCAGGTCAAGATAGTAATTTCTGGTACCACGGGCCAAAATAGAAAGTTTGTCTATAGTTCGGGCCAAACTAAGGTATTAACCCAAATAATTAATATAACTACGCAATCAGTGGCAGAGCGGTTACAGTGATTACTACAAAAGTAGTAATCACCGTGGTTACTAAAGGTAAATTGGGTATGGAAAAATAAATTACATTTTAGGTAGTTACAAAAATCTATTAATTATAATTATCTTTCTTTCTCTCACTTCCGTAATCTCCAGCCAGATCTCTTTTCCATAGTTTTCTCAAACTTTCTGCAAAAGAAAAACCACGAAATCACTACCAATCCATTAGACAACCCCCTACCACTTTGAAAAACATCAATACCATTGCAGAGATAAATCTATACCGTTACACGAAAACTACCAATATAAAGAATCTATACCATTACAAAAGTCAAACAAATACCAAAACAACCAATACCACTACAACTGTGAAATCAAAACAATACCATTGCACAAATAAATTAAAACCATTAAACTAAAACTAGCAATACCAAAATCAATCAATACCACTACTATTTTGAGATCAAAACAATAGCATTGCCAAAATATATCAATACCATTATGACAAACACACTGTACCATTTCATACAACAAAACAATCAACTAATACCTAAACAAAGTATACCATTTCATAAATTAATACCATTACTAAATTACCATATGGTAATTACAAGATCTATCGTAGACAAATGGATAGAGAGATAGGGAGGGAAGGAGAGAGCAGCGGGAGAGATAAGAGAGAGAGAGAGAGCAGCGGGAGACATAAAGAGAGGGAGCAGTGGGAGGTGTCACGACCTTACTCTCGATCGTGCGGCCCTAGCTCTCAATTCCGTTAGAGCGCTAGGCAGCCTTTCTCTCAACTCACTTGAAAGCAAAGAACAAAGACAAAGGAAATGGGAGAACTCTCTAGTGTGTATTACTCTCAAAAATGATGGAATGAGTACAAATGAGGGAGATGGCTCCTTATATAGGCCTCTCCACATACAAGGAATCAATGCCCCTCATTAAGTCCCTCTACTACATCAATACACCCCCATTAAGTCCCCCCATTATGCACTCTATCAATGTCACCATTATGTGACTCATAAGTGCACTATAAAGCTCTACATTATGGTGGAGAATCCTAGGAGCATCTCTATGCTACTAGTCTTCCATGCATGCCACATGTGCTGCTGCTATGTTGTCACCTTGTTGGCGCCATGTCATCTGCCACATGTGACATCCTCCCCCACCTATGCTCGCGACGCCCTCGTCGCGTCCTCTTGATGGAATGCCTCGATCAAGTCCTTGTTCTTCCAAAGCGTGAGCTCTTTCTCCCATGTTGCTTCACTCTCCGGAAGGTTGCGCCACTTGACTAGGTACTCCACAAAGCTTGGATGTACGCCGCGACGAGGAATGACACGACGCGCCATGATTTCTTCGACCTCATGGTCGTGTGTCTTGGTGACGAGTGTTGGTGCGCGCTGCGGCTCCCTTCGCTGCTCGTCCTCCTTGTCTTCGTGGTAAGGTTTGAGTTGGCTCACATGAAAGACCGGATGGATCTCCAAGTGCGTCGGCAGCTCTACCTTGTATACCACATTGCCAATCCTCTTCACGATGGGGAATGGCCCTTCGTAGCGGCGAAGCAGTCCCTTGTGCACGTTCTTGAGATGCTTGAAGCGATGAGGGTAGAACTTGACCATCACCATGTCTCCCTCTTCAAACTCCAAGTGCCGTCGCTTCTTGTCCGCCCATTTCTTCATCTTCTTACTAGCGCGGGCTAAGTAAGACTTGGCCATCTCCACCTTCTCGTGCCAACCTTTAGCGAACTTGTAGGCCGCCGGACTGTTGCCTCTATACCCCGTTGCCACCGTCGTAGGTGTCAAAGGTTGCTGCCCCGTCGCCAACTCGAATGGACTTGTGTTGGTCGACTCGCTGCGGTGTAAGTTGTAGGAGAACTGTGCCGTGTCCATCAACTTCACCCAATCTCGTTGGTTTGCACTCACGTAGTGCCGCAAGTACACTTCCAACAAGGCATTTACCCGCTCCGTCTGTCCGTCGCTTTGAGGATGAAATGCCGTTGAGAAGTTCAAGTTTGAGCCCATGATCTTGAACAACTCTCGCCAAAATCTGCTCGTGAAGCGCCCATCTCTGTCGCTCACGATGCTGCTAGGAATGCCCCAATACTTGACCACGTTCTTGAAGAATAGTCGTGCCGCATCCTCCGCCGTTAAGTCTTTTGGCCCAGGAATGAACACTCCATACTTCGAGAATCTGTCCACCACAACCATGATGCAACCACATCCATCGACTTTGGGAAGTCCGATGATGAAGTCCATGCTCACACTCTCCCATGGTCGTTGAGGCGTGGGCAAGGGCTCTAGCAAGCCTGCCGGGCTTCTCTGCTCCATCTTGTCTTGTTGGCACACAAGACAAGTCTTCACATACATCTCCACGTCGTCTCTCATACGCGGCCAGAAATATGCTTCTTCGATGAGCGCTTGCGTTCTCTCGATACCGGGATGGCCCGCCCACTTGGAATCATGGCACTCCTTCATGATCTCCTTCCTCAAGTTGGCCCATCTTGGCACGAACATCCGCTCTCCCTTGGTCATGATGAGCCCATCCTTCATCCAAAACCGCCGAGTTTTACCTTGCTCAATGTACTCCGCTACGGTTTTGGCGAAGGGGTCATGGCCAAGGCCTTCAACGATCCGCTCCTTCAAAGGAAACGTGGGCTGGCTGATGCTTGCGGCTGCACTCTTGCGGCTAAGAGCATCGGCAACGGAATTCGCCTTGCCTGGGTTGTACTCCATGACGAAGTCGAACTCGGCCAAAAAGTCTTGCCACATTGCTTGCTTAGGGGTGAGCTTCTTCTGCGTCAGAAAGTAGCTCGTTGCCACGTTGTCCGTCTTCACAACGAACTTTGACCCCAACAAGTAGTGCCTCCATGTGCGCAAGCAATGCACCACGGCCGTCATCTCCTTCTCTTGAACGGTGTATCGCCTCTCCGTCTCGCTGAGCTTCCGACTCTCGAAGGCAATGGGATGCCCTTCTTGCATCAACACGCCCCCAATTGCAAAGTCGGATGCATCGGTCTGCACTTCGTAGGCCAACGTCGGGTTGGGGAGCACGAGCACGGGCTCCTTTATTACCGCTGCTTTCAAGGCCTCGAACGCTTCTTGGCACCTTTCCGACCAATCCCACGCCTTGTTCTTCTTCAAGAGATCCGTCAAGGGTGCTGCAATGTTGGAGTAGCCCTTGATAAACCTCCGATAGTAGTTGGCAAGGCCGAGGAATGACCGCAACTCCGGCACCTTCGTCGGCGGCTCCCATTCTTGGATTGCCTGCACCTTCGCTCCATCCATCTTCAACTTGCCTCCACCAATGACGTGCCCTAAGAATGGAACCTCCGTGGCGGCAAATGTGCACTTCTCCCTCTTGACGTACAACTCGTTGTCGCGAAGGACTTGGAAGACTTGGCGTAGATGCTCGGCATGCTCATCGAGTGTTTTGCTATACACAACGATGTCATCCAAGTAGACCACGACAAATCGGTCCAAGAATGGCTCGAACACTTGATTCATCAAAGTGCAAAACGTGGCTGGTGCGTTGGTGAGACCGAATGGCATCACAAGAAACTCGTAAGAGCCATACCTCGTCACACAAGCCGTCTTTGGCTCGTCGCCCTCTGCTATCCGCACTTGATAGTAGCCCGAGCGAAGATCTAGCTTGGTGAACCACATCGCATCTCCAAGCTGGTCGAACAAGTCGGCAATGTTGGGAATCGGCCACTTGTTCTTTACCGTCAACTTGTTGATGGCTCTATAGTCGATGCACATCCGCAACGACCCTTCCTTCTTCTTTTGGAACAGCACCGGTGCTCCAAAAGGTGACTTCGATGGCCGCATGTAGCCTGCGTCCACCAAGTCCTTGAGTTGCCTTCGCAATTCTTCTAACTCCGGTGGCGACATGCGGTATGGTGCTCGCGAAGGGGGTTTCGCTCCTGGCTCCAACTCGATCTTGTGGTCCACCTCTCTTCTTGGTGGCAGCTTCTTGGGCAACTCCGATGGCATCACATCATCAAAATCTTCGAGGACACCTTCGATGATGGGAGTTGTGATTCCCGTTGAGCCTCCTTCTTCCTCCGTCTTCAAGGACACAAGAAAGGTTGGTTCATTCTTCTTGAACCCCTTTACCACTTGCATGGCCGATAGAGCACTATGGGGACCATCTTCTCTCAAGAGATGAACCGAATGGAACTCCCCTTCCTTCTCCAAGCACATCGTGTTGGAGTTGGGCTTCAAAAGCACTCCCTCCTTGTCGAGGAAGTGGATGCCGAGGATGACTGGGTGATCGTCCATGGTGACGACGGAAAAGTCGACGAGGCCTTCCCACTCGCCAAGCTTCATTGGTACGTTGTGAGCAACTCCATGGATCGGGATGGACTCCGAGTTGATCGTCTTGAGCCTCCCTTGCCCCTTCTCGTAGGCAATACCCAGCCGGTTTGCCTCCTCGACGCGAAGAAAGTTGTCCGTGGCACCGGTATCCACCAAGGCTTTTGACTCGCCTTGCATGAATTGCGCCAGAACATAGCACCTCCCCCGCTTGCTCTCCTTGACGTCGGTCTTCACCGCGCCAAGCTTGCGGATTGAGCCAATCTTGGCCTCCGCCGCCTTGGGCTCCTCATCTTGAGCTTCCATGGCTGCCAATCTCGCCTTCCTTGGGCAATCTCGCACTCGATGTGGTCCGTCGCAAAGGAAGCAAGTCATGGGTTTTGGCTCGTACTTACCCCCTTTGCTCGAACCACCTTGGTGTTGTTGAGTGCGAGGACCCTCCTTGAAAGGCTTCTGCTGTTCTCCACCCTTGTTGGGCTTCGAACTCTTCTCTCTGCCGCTGCTCTCTTGTCGTTTGTACTCGACAAAAGACTCTGCCGTGGCCATGGCAGTTGCAAGGTCTTGCACCCCTCGACGTTGCATCTCCATCTTGGCCCATGGTTGCAGCCCATCAAGGAAGCCGTGCATGGCCTCCTTGTCCGTGATGTCCGGGATCTCTAGAAGCAGCTCCGAGAATTCTTTCACGTATTCTCGAACTCCACCCCTCTGGGTGAGTCTTCTCAACTTCGAACGGGCTTCAAACTCCACGTTCTCTGGGTAGAACTGCCTCTTGATTTCTTTCTTGAAATCTTCCCACGTTACCATCACACAAGTACCTCTTTCGACGTCCGCTTCACGTCGCCTCCACCACACCATGGCAACATCAACCAAGTAAAGTGGAGCGGTACGAATCTTTACCTCATCCTCTTGGATGCCGGACGCCTTGAAGTACTGCTCAAGACTCCAAAGGAAGTTCTCTAACTCCCTCGCATTCCGTGAACCTCCGAAGCTCTTCGGTCTTGGAATATCAGCACGTGGGACGGATTGCACCGTGGCTGGTCCGCTAGCCATGGCTCTCTTCACGAGGGTGACCTCACTCTTGAGATCTGCAATCTCCTCCTTCACGCCGACCAGCTCAGCCTGGACATGCTCTTTGACAACTTCAATGGCGTTGTTCAAGGATGTGTTGATGGTGTTGTTGATGAGGGCCACAAGCTCTTCTCGTAGGCCATCATGACCAATCTCCAAGCTCGACAAACGAGCATTCATACCTTGACAATCGCTTTCGACTTGGGTGAAGTTTGCTCCCAAATCCTCGATGGCACTGATGTCTTCTGCCAACTTCACCTCCATTCTAGAGACACGCCTCTCTAGAGACGTCATGGGATCACGAGTGCTTGACTTCTCACCCGTTGGTTTGGTATTCTTCACGGCATCCCTTCCACGGTGCTTCTCATCGTCGTGGACTTCTGATCCCGACATTTTTGGTGAGGTTCTTCCTTTCCTTCTGGCTCTAGGTTCAACTTTGCTAGCACAAAGCCGAACCAGGCTCTGATACCACTTGTCACGACCTTACTCTCGATCGTGCGGCCCTAGCTCTCAATTCCGTTAGAGCGCTAGGCAGCCTTTCTCTCAACTCACTTGAAAGCAAAGAACAAAGACAAAGGAAATGGGAGAACTCTCTAGTGTGTATTACTCTAAAAAATGATGGAATGAGTACAAATGAGGGAGATGGCTCCTTATATAGGCCTCTCCACATACAAGGAATCAATGCCCCTCATTAAGTCCCTCTACTACATCAATACACCCCCATTAAGTCCCCCCATTATGCACTCTATCAATGTCACCATTATGTGACTCATAAGTGCACTATAAAGCTCTACATTATGGTGGAGAATCCTAGGAGCATCTCTATGCTACTAGTCTTCCATGCATGCCACATGTGCTGCTGCCATGTTGTCACCTTGTTGGCGCCATGTCATCTGCCACATGTGACAGAGGGGTGGGAGACTGCTGCGGTGGGAGGGGGTAAAAGAGATTGCCATCATGATTACTAAAAAACAAGTAATCACCCTAACCCACTTCCGGAGCCATATGCAACCAAGGAAGGTCTCATGACCCACCCTTACCCTACATCGGAACAACACTTCAGCCACCACGCTACTGGCTATATGTTGAGTTAAGGTGAACTTTTAAGTTAATTATTAAAGGTTTAGTATTTCAGATATTAAAAACAACAACTTCGCCTATTTTCCAATGCCCATCACAATTCCTAACCCTATCGACTTTCCTCCCCAAAACGATAGCTGCAGCCATCAGCTCGTCCCCTGAACCAAACGAAACTCACACAAAGCGGAAAAAATACCCATTCCACAAAGGGCTGCTCCGATTGCTTTGTTCTTTAATTTCGATTCCGACTTCGACTCCAGCTCCACATTCATCTCGTTGTTGACGGTGAGCTAGTATTCTTTGTCAACATGGATGATCTATACTTTCCTCTTGGGCGACCTAGAAGAAATGCTCAACAAATCACCAATCTCCACCATTACAAGGTTGAGTTATTTTATACAGTTGTGGATATGCAGTTACAAGAGCTTAACAGTCGCTTTGATGAAGTCAACATTGAATTGATATGGTGTGTGGCATGCTTAAATCCAGATGATTTATTTGTAAACTTTGACAAGGAGAAGTTGGTGAAGCTTGCTACCTTTTATCTTAGGGGTTGTTTGGATGCAGGATTGTTAATTGAATTTGTGAGAGATTTTAAAACAATTTCTCATTATGCAGGATTTTAAACAATCCTGTGTTTGCGAAGATGAGAGATTGTGGACATGAGAGATTTTAAAAACCCACAAATGTAGGATTTAAAAATAACTAATGCCCATAAGCTATTTCTAAATCTCTCATTTTTATTTCATTTTTTTCCAAATCTTACCCCTAATCGGTTGTAACCTTCCGTTAATCTTTTCGTCCAATTACTCTTGCTCAGTCCAAACTCTTGCTCAGTCCAATCATTTTCCCTACTGGCGCCAGCAGCTAACACCCTTCCCGTCGATTGAGTCGCCATCGACTGGGCTTCTCAATCTTGTCGTCGTCGTCCACCACCAACATCACAAATGCCAAGACAGAAGCCAGGGATTGAGCGGCGTTGAAGTTGGTTCGCCGCTTTTCACCGTCGCAATCTGGATTTGTCAATTGGAGGTTCGATACTTTTCACCGGATGGCTTCCCTGCCCTCAATTGGAGCCCATGTGGGATTTGAGATGGGTTTTGCTAATCGCTTCTTATCGATGGAAGGCGCCAGAGCCCAAGTAACCACATGGATTGACGGAGGCACTCAGGGGAGCAATTCGTGAGGGGATCTCTCTTAGCGGACCTTCGAATCGCGCCGCCGGCCGCAACCCAGCTTTTCCTCCTTCAAAACCCTCCCTTACATATCTCCTCTCTGACAACCAATTTCTAGGATTGGGCGTTCTGTTTTGGGTTACAGAGGGTCGATTTTGGGTTTGGGATGTATTTTTTGTGGGCAAAGAAGAAATGGAGCGACGCTGGTACTGTCCTTGGAAGACGACAACAGAGATGGAGGGAGGAGGAGTGTCATGGCTGCCATCTGCGCCGACGAAAGAGATAGAAGAGAAGATGAAGATAGATGCTCATAAAAATGGGCATAATTGTACATTTGTTTATTAGGTTAAATACCTACTTTCAATTCCAAACGACGGATTTGACCCAAATCCTACATATCAAATCTCTAGGGTTTTAAATGAGAGATTTGACCATAAATCTCTCGTTTATACATTCCCTCATCCAAACGACTCCTTAATGAGTTCGCTAAAGATGATATTTTACATCTTGACCTTCATCAACTAGATGCTTATATATTTGATATGAAGACAATTGAGAGGTTTGCAGGATTAAAAGGAATTGCCGAGCTTTCTAGAGAAATGGTTGCGTCAAGAAAACATCGAGGGTTTCCACTAGTCTATCGACTTCTAAAATTGGCGTTGTTGCTTCCAGTTGCCACGACAAGTGTGGAAATAGCATTTTTTGCTATGAATTATGTGAAGAACACACTTCAGAATAGGATGAGTGATGACATCATGAACAATTTTTTAGGTTGTTACCTTAAGAGTGACATCTTTGACAGTTTCGATGATGAATGTATGTTAAATACTTTTCAGATTATGAAAACACGTCGTGGATCATTGTAAACGATTAATATAATTTATGCTATGTTTTCTTTTTTGACCCACCTTAGCAATATTTCTGGCTACTGTACGCAATAGATGTGACATCAATAATTATTTTACATATCTAGTCTAGATTAAACATGCTAAATCGATTCAATCACGACTCTTTAACCTACTTTGTCGACTTGAAATCGGGCTGACAATATCCGGATAAATGAAACAAATATTGTTTTTTTTTAATTTACCACCAATATGGCATATTAAAAAGTATTGACACAGATATTGTGTTTTGGAGAAAATAATCGGCGAGACCACCTGAGACTCAGGTGCTGCCGCTTTTTCTGTGTTTTTGGATCTTTTTTTTAAGGTGACAGCGGCGGCGCCCAAGACTGAGGTGGCACCGCCTGAGACATAGGTGAATTGGTGGGAAATTGTCCCAGGCGTTGGCGCCCAAGACTAAGGTGGCACCGCTGGCTTATTGCTGGCTACCCTCCTATAAAACCAGCGAATTTCGTTTCAGTTATTCACACCACAAAAAAAATCGACCAAGATAGAGGAGTGCTCTGGTTGCTGCTGCAAAAATGTCTAATAGGTAAGAGACACATTTATTTTTGTAATTATATTATTCAATTGTGTTTAGTTTTAATTAGTGAGTTTGTTTTTATGTAGTGATTTTAGAAGATTTGAACTAGTCGTTCGGTGGAAATCGGAGAAAGTAGAGGATAATTTGGGCGTCAAATTCGTTGGTGGTAGTAGTTTTCAGTTGACGGTTCCATCCAGGGTCACATATCACAAACTTTGTGAGAATCTAATTCCGAGAATACGGCGTAGAGACGAAGCAGTACAAGATAGTGATGTAATCATAGGTTTCACTTACCGTCTTCCAGAATGGCAGAATGGTGTTTTGTTTCATTATGCGATGCCTATTGTGGATGATGATAGCTTGAATGTGCTTTGGAATTTTATGGCACAAAATCCTTATTGTTTGGGTGCTGAGATACATGTTGAGCTCAGTGAGGATCAGGGTGGAGAGGAAGAAGATGATACATGGAGCGTGCCATCCGATCATGACTATGATGATGGTGATGACGGAGAGGAGGAAGATGATGAGGAGGAGGAGGAGGAGGAGGAAGAGGAGGAAGGAGAGCAGCCTAATTATCCTCCATATTTTTACTTGCAGGGTAATGAAGAGGACGAAAAGAATTATCACTTGCTGATTCATATGGCGTAATTCCAATGCCTATTGTTGCTAGTTTTGAAGGAGAATTCTACAAGGGGCAGATATTTCACTCGAAACAAGCTGCACAGATGGCGATTAAACACCACACACTACAACGCAACTTTCAATATGGCGTGGTGGAGTCGTCACCTTCAATCTGGAAGGTCAGATGCTTGAGGCACAAGGATGGCAATTGTCCTTGGATGGTGCGGTTTGGATGTCGAGATGTTGGAGGCGAATGGACTGTGAGAAAGGCTGAGTTGGTGCATTCTTGTAGCAGTACGACTCAACCGGCGGATCATCGCCATCTTGATGTCGACATGATATCTGAGACCGTCAAACATTTGGTGTGTGCCCAACCAAACTTGAGTGTTCTAACTGTGCAGGCCGAGTTGAAAGATAAGTTTAATATGCAAGTTACTTACAAGAAGGCTTGGTATGGGAAACAAAGAGCATTGGAGAAGTTGCATGGAAATTGGGAAGAATCCTACGATTTTTTGCAAACATTCTTGCGGGTGGTCAAGAGAAAAATGCCAACATCGGTGATTGATTGGGTAAGAGTTCCCTCGACCAACCAGGTCATTCAATATTTCAACGAGTATTCTGGGCTTATGGACCTTGTATAGATGGATTCAAGAATTGTCTAGGCGTCATGGTTGTTGGTGGAACATTTCTTATCGGGAAGCAAGGTTCCAAAAGGCGCTAGGCGTAAGGCAGGCGCTCGGCTCCTGACTTGCGTCTTGCCCGATTAGGCATAGCCTAGGCGCGCCTAGGCGTTCAGAGCATAAATGGAAAAATTCTCAAATATTTCCTGTTTTCTGGAATAATTCATATAATCCAAGTGCATATAAAATTAGCAATGCCTAGTTCTTAACAGTAAACACTTAACACAACAAATAACAAGCAAATAGTGACCAATCATCTGCTAAAAAATGCTTATAGAGGCAAGAAACTTGTGCTACGTACCGAGGAGAAGGAAGGAGCAGCAATTGACAAGTTTCGACTTTATTTCCCAAGCAGCGGGCAGTGTGAAGGCGATAAGAGTGATCAATGACTTTCTCCTGCAGCGGCAGAGAGCAGCAAATGGGGCGAGAGCTAGGGCGGCAGGCGGCAGCAGATGTTACTTCCCGTGTTTCTGATTTTCTAGGGCAAGAGGCAAGTTTCTGATTTTCTAGGACAAAACGAAGAGTATTGGGTTTAACCGCCTAAGCTCGCCCAGGCACGCCTTCTCTCCACTAGGCGCAAACTAAGCGCTATTCCTACCTACTAAGCGCTACCAGCTCCTTTTACAACACCTATGGCCAAGTCAAGACGATCCTCCACCGCCTAGCGCCTAATTGAGCCTAGGCGTGCCTTCTTGAACCCTGTCGGGAAGTATAAAGGAGTGCTACTCATGGCGAGCTCATTTGATGGCCTGAAACATCCCACCTCTTTGAATTTGGAAAAAAAGACATTTCTACCCTGGGGTATAATTAACAATCTCAAATAACACAAGTTTAAATAAAATACCAAACTCAAATATCTTAATATCTCAATTTGAAGCCCTAAACACGTGGGCAAAACTTAAATCATCCAAAAGAAATGAATCTCCAATCTTTAACTCTTAACCATAAAGTCTTAATAACTTGAAAAAGTTCTCCGATGCTTACTCTGATGCCTGGCTCGACATCTCTCAGCGACGATGGTGTTGAGCTCCTCTAGCTTGCTGATCACGGACTGGCAGATTAGGATTTCCTCCTCTACGTTCTGGTGAGTGAGTTGGGGTCAGTCTACGCCCTTACGTTAAAATCTATAGTACTTTAGTATTCTTCTCTAAACACTTAACTTCTACTAGTGGAAGACGTTTTGTGCTTCCATTCTTAACAATCTTAACTCATAAAATTCTTCGGGAGTTGAAGTTACTCTCTTCTCTTAAAGCTCAAATCTTGACTTAAATACTTAACTGACACGGGGATCTCTCACTAGCTAGTCCGGTTGCCCAACTCATACGTATGAGAAGCCATCCAGGCTTTCCTTAAACTGAAACTTAGTTAGGGGAGTCGTAACGATTCATCCGCCTAACATCTTAAACTTATCGTGGTGGCTCTTCACCACGATTCTCAAGGGCATAACTGCTGCCCATCTTAAAAGTCTCAAGAGCATAACTGCTGCTCTATCTCAAAATGTCTCAAAGGGCGACGGACTGGCGCTAGTGACTAAAACACTTAAAATGACTTCACCTTCTTGAAGGTGAGTTACTTCTTTAAAAAGAACTTGTTTCTTAACTTTAACAATAACCTATAAAACGGAAAGCTTTAAATTAACTAAGAAATCATGCACATTCACATCAAACATAGCTCAAACAAAATCACATATCATCAACCATAAGCACTATCAAACAACGACAATCATTTCATCAAAATACTTAAGACTGGTAATTCTTGAAAGAACACGTAAGGCGTAGAATTTACCCCCTTTACACTCACCTTGTAAAGCTGACTCCTCGATCCTCTACTCGAAGAAATCCCTCCTAGCCGAATTATCTCGGTGAACCTATTAATAAGAATGTCATCTCCTTAGTCGACCTTTCTCGATTTAGAATTCCCTTTTGGGTCACTAGAACAACCTTCCCTCAACATCCAGCCCTCGAGACTCGCTCCCAAGGTCCCTTAACCCCCTTTAGAAATTTTCTAGAACAATCCCCTCAAAACCAACCACTTTTCCTAATTATTTTAGTCTTGGACGAATTTTCCACCTAACTTGAACCTTCTTAAAAATTCGGATAATAATTTTCCCACATCAATGAGTACTTATACCCTGGAAAATTATCAAACCCTTATAAACTCCTCGTAAACATTTTTATTCAATTAATACAGATGATCAAAAAAATTTTAAAATTAAAAATATATCTTCAAAAATCCCCAAATTAAATTACATCCATCTCCTAGAACTCCCTCAATTTATAAAAATTTTAAACTCAAGAAAAAACCCCCATAAAGACTCAAAACAATTTAAACCATCTAAAACAAGTTTCTGGAAATTCCTAGCAACTTTAATGACCACCCCAAATTCTGTCACTAAAGGCCTGAACGTTTGTTGCTAAAACCTCAGAATTTCACCCTCACGAAAAATCACCAAATCGATCGATCTAACTCAAAGGGATCGAGTTCCCTTACCTCTAGAACGTGCTCAGGCCTAGGTTGGATGACCCGGGACGTTGATCTCCTCGTTGATCGAACCCTCAACGTCACCGCTAAACGAAACAAGCTTCGGATTAGACTATCAATGAATCGAGTTTAGAAACCGCGAAGGAGTTCGTGATCCTTACCTAGAACCGCGAAAGGGATGGGATCGGGATCGGGGTCGGCTGCCGACTCCTTCTTTCTTCCTCGGATTGGCGGCGGTGGTTGGGTAATTAAGTTGCGGCAGTGGCTTTTCTTTTTCCCCCGGGGAAATTGAGAAAAGCGGCGGGGGCGTTTGGGGAATTGGGAAAAGGTTTTGAGACTCGGCTGCTGCTGGGGAATTGTTTCTCGCGTTGGGAAAAGTAAAAGGGGCGGGGGAAAAGAATAGAGAGGCGGCGGTGATTTCACAAAAACAATGGAGAGGCGACCGGGGTTTGGGGACAGCAAAACAGGCGGCTGGGGGAAATAGAGAGGGTCGCCCTCTCGGCCCGGGATTTTTCCAGAAATAGCACTATTTAATTTTTTCCCCCAAAAATAGCACCCAACTCGAAAAAATGTCAAAACTAGCACCCTTTCCCAAAAACCACCACCCAAACCAGCGGTTTAGGCAAAAACCGCACCCGGGGCGCGTTTTTCTATGAAAACCGCACCCCCACCATGCGGTTTGTAATATGTATTTTTTTTCCAAAATAAATATCAGAAGTTGTCTTGACGCAACTGGTTTAGTCGTTTATTGTGTGCAAGAAGTCCTAGGTTCGAATCCTCACTATCCCATTTGAATTTTATTTTATTTTTTAGAGATTGAAAAAAGCAACATGTTGTGGGAGTGGTGGATCAAACCAAGATAATAAATACTTTACTAAATTTAGCACAACATCTACACCACTCAACTACAACCCTTCTCTTGAAAAATAATATATTGACAAACTTTTACTCCTCGAAAGCTAAAAATCCTCAATAACTTTAAACAAACATAACTTTGTGCTCCAAAATCCGAACGTCATGAAATTTTTATTTATTTTGCATAACTTTTTGAGGACTACAATTT